GTATTGCTTTAATTAATTTGAATACTGTTGAGAGCTGACAAAAGTAGATATTACACTGAACCCAAAATATTCAAAACGTTAAACAACTCTTTGGCAGAAAAAATTCGTGAATCTGAGCAGACAACTAAGCTATTTGAACTGGAGGTTTTAGGGACGATTTCTAAGGTTGCAAATAGAAATTTGGGAGCCCTATGGAGGACAGACGAAAATGAGTTCTCTCTTTATTATTTCTTCCAACTTAAACCACTTTTTACTTCCTTGTGCGAAGTAAAATGCTGATGTAGAGCTGTTAAGTGAACCTAGGGCCAGAGTGTCGCTATGGTAAACAAAATATAGTGAATTTTAAAGAGTGCATTTATTCTATTGTGATTTATGCGCTATCAACGAAGTAGATTTAATTCAATCCAATAAGTTTAAATGAAGTGCAAGAAAAAATGCGTATAATTTAATATTCCGTACAAGTCATGTGGTGCACACATCATACTTTTTTACTTCCTTGTACGAAGTAAAAAGGAAGTATTGTAATCGCGAAAAGTTTCAGCCATCATATTTCAACGAAAATATCCATTTTCACCGCTATCGAATGCAATTTAACGATGTTTTTGCGTGACATCTGTACGTAAGGACAGAATAAAGGACTCTTTTCCCTCAAAAAAATTATAAAACTGATTTAAAGTGAATTCTGAAGAGAATTTTTCGTGGTGTCTGTACGTACGTATTTGTCTCGCAAAACTCAAAAAACAAGTAGCCTCAGAACGTTGAAATTTTGTGTATAGGACTGCTATAACATGTAGATGTGCACCTCGTATTTTGTTTGCAATCGGCCTCACCAAAAGTATATAAATATATGTATATATATATATAGCCACTCTGTTACTCGACTCAGTGATCTCAGTTACTTTATTCTTATATATTTGTAAATTGTGCATTTTTTGCTTTAAAATTGATTGAATTATGTTGTTCTTATCTTCCGGTTAAGGTTTTTATGCCTTTAGTTAACCTATATGCAATAATTGAGGAATTATCAGCAATTTAAATGTTTTTTAAGTTCGGCTAAGCCTAATTTCTGATTAGTATGCCGTCCATGTTTGTTTACATTTAAAACTTACCGTAGATTTGCTGCCAATCTAGACAAACTAAGCTTCCCAACAGCAAAGTAACGTCTTCTTTTATTATTGCGAATTAAATTATGCTTAATTCACTATAGAATTAATATTTAAATTATTAGCTTATTTTTATACTGAAACTATAACGTTAATTGTAAAAATTGTTTTTAAATTGTTTTAACTTTTCAAAAAAGGCCTGTAGTGGATCAGCAGAAAGAAAGATACAATGCACTAACTCAAGGTAAATTGAGTTCAGATAATAAAAATAAAACTAAAAAAAATTGTCATCAGGATTTAATTCGCAAAGCTGGTTTCATAGACCTAGAAGTCCACGTCCCGATGATAAATATGAAAAACGAAAGACACCACAATGCTATCAGTGTGGGTCCTATCAACATTTAAGACCCCAATGTCCAAAACTTAAGAATAGTACTGTATCTCCTGCTAATCTTAACAGGATTAGGGCAAAACCAGAAGATAAATTTCTATTACTTTATACTAGTATGGGTTACGTAAATGGTCATAAAATTCCTACATTAAGGGATTCAGGTGCTAGTATTGATATAGTTTGTCGCAAATACATCACGCCGGAAATGCTGACAGGTGAAAATGTGTGTGTGCAACAGCCATTAGATTTGAATCCAACTTGTTTACTATTGGCTGTGATCGAACTAAATTGCGATCTTGGGTGAGTAATAACTAAGGCTGCCATTATTAGAAATGAACTCGACAAAGGAAGGTATTTATTAGGCAATCGAACTTTTGCACTGTTGAATAAACAAGGAAAGGAGCCTGATAGTTGTCCTCACCAGGTGAATGCTGTCTCTACTAGAGCTCAGAGGAAAAGAAAAATAGCTGAAGAGAACATCTTGGAACCGATGAAGGAAGAAAATAAAGCATCCAGAGATGTCTTTGAAGAAGAAGTTAAATCAACGGAATTAAACGTGGAAAATGTTCACGAAAATTTGAAAAACGATAAAGAAATGAATATTGAGAATCATTTTGCAATGCAGCGTTATCATCATCTTTCAGCTTTTGATTTAATATCAAAGCCGATACTAATAGACGAAGAAAACAATTGTCGAAAGCAAATGACAATTGAATATTATCCGAAAGGCATAGATGAACTAAGGAAAGGCTTTGCTGTGAATTATAGCCGAGGAACTGGTCCAACATGGAAGAGATCTAGGCGCCGTCAAGAAAAAAAAAGGAAGACTAATTTGAACACTGTCCATTTTCTTCCTATTTAAATGGTGTAAAAATATTTGTTTAAAACTTGAAAATTTTGGCCTGAAGTTTGGGAACTTATCAGAGAAGTTACCTTTTCTCTTTAAGCAAATGAGCAAGCCGAGCTTATAAAATTTCGAATTTTACAGAACTTTTCCCTTTGGAAAAAGTCTCTCCGTAGGGGAAGAGGTTGTAAAAGCTTTAAATATTATTAAAATCTTGTAGTTTAAATAATTTAAATAGATGAACATTAAGGTATTTGTGAATAGCAATATTTGAAACCAGACTCGAGTGCCACGTGCGACTCTTGCACGAAGAATGTAATTTATTTTTAAAATGTGAGAATTCATTTTTTCCCTTGTTTTTTATGTCGCCATTTGAGTGTTAAATAAAGTTTTTTTCTATGTTCAATCATTGGAGTTGCTTCATATTGCCAAAAAAGTATCACATTATGCAGCTTTTTAAGATCTTGTAAATAAGATGGAAGAGAAGAGTGTTGTCGGATGCGTCTTTTCACCATGTCCCATATATTTTCTATAGGGTTAAGATGCGAGCTATGCGGTGGCCAGGAAGGTGTTGAAACGATGTTCAACAAACCAATTTTGAAAACTTCTGGCAGGATATTTAGTTGAATTATCGTCTATGAAGGTAAAAATGCAACACTGCAAGATCCACTTGATCTGTCAGTATATCTAGGTAGCTCATGGCTGTTTGTTTACCCTCGAAGAACGCTAGGGCACCACTTCCATGCCAGCAGGACATGCCCCATATCATGATACTCCCACCAGACCCTTGCACAATGCGACTAAGGCAAGATGGCTTCATATGGTCCTCGCCAAATTCGTCATCTTCCATCAGTGCAGAATAAGCTGAAGCGTGATTCATCCAACTATATTACCAGTTTTCAATCCTCAGATGTCCAATGTTTTGTTTTCCGACAGCACTCCAAACGAATTCTTGCATGTCGGGGAGGAATGAATGGTTTTCGCACAGGCACCGGACTATGCGTTCATATCCTCAGCAATTCTCTGCGCATGGTTCGAGCTGAAATCTGCTGAGAAGAGCAATTCTTGATTGACGATCTGTGTTAACTAAAGCACAGTAGGTTTCCTATTATGCCGTACAATTCGTCGGAGACGACGCCGATCACTCTTGGAAAAATGTCCTCGAACCGCAGTTACGTCTTCTAGAGAAGGATTGTGGGTTCTGATTCCAACTTTTGAAAAACCTTTGATATGGCTGCTTTTGAGAACTCATTGAGATTTGCTGTCTTCGAAATCAAGGCCCGCTAAACGGGCACCAACGAAAAGCCCTTTTTTCGAATGTTGAATGTTGAAGGATCATCATTTTTCCCATGTTACTTCATTCATCGTTAAAAGAATACTTACACCTTACGTATACTAGCATTCTAACCAAGTGTAACCCATGTCATAAAAAAAAAAAAAAAAAAAAAAAAAAAAAAAAAAAAAAAAAAAAAAACTGCATACTTCATCGATAGCACGCGTTCAAATGAAAATCTCAAAGGTTTCTAATTTATTGGCCAGTGTGTGTATGTGTATATATATGCAATGGAGGAGGTGGGGAGTCCGATTGTTGCCATGTTCATGCAATTCTGAGTTTATAATTTTGCGTTTTTACTTCCTTGTACGAAGTAAAGGAAGTATTATTTAATCGTAAAAAAAAGTCGGGTATCATATTTCAACGAAAATATCCATTTTGACTGCTTTCGAATCCATTTGAGCGATGTTTTTGCGTGACGTGACACGTGTACGAATGGACAGAATAAAGGACTCCTTTTTTTCCCAAAACGGATTGTAAAATGGATTTAAAATGGACTCACAGTAGATTTTTTCGTGATGTCTGTACGTACATATGTATGTATCTCGCATAATTCTAAAACGAATAGCCGTAGAAAGATAAAATTTTGTATATGGGACTGCTATAAAAGCTAATTTTCGTTGCAGACGGCTACGCTTAATCTATATATATGTATACTTCCACTCTGTCACCCCACTTGGTGAGCTCAGTATTTTTATGCTTATATGGTGGTAAAATGTCCATTTTTTTGCTTTGAATTATGTTGTTCTTACGTTCCGATAAGGTTATTCTACGTGCAATAGTTAAGAGTTATAAACGATTTAAGTCGCGCTAGGCCTAACGTGGCCGCCATTTATTTACATTCGAAACTCTAAGTAGAGTAGTAAATTAAGTTAGTTGGTGCACCAACTTCAATGTTTTTCGCCCAGTGAGACCGAAAGTTAACTTTCAATTTTGTGCACCGAAAATTTTGTCTTCCGATCTGTTGGCCGAATTGCTTAGAAAAAACTCTTATTGTAAAAAAATTTTTAAACTGTTTTTAACTGTATTTGTTGTTTTAGGTTTTTCTATATTTTAAAATTTTTAATGAAGATGTTTTGTGTTTTTAATGTATTGCGTTTTTAATATATTTATTTATTGTGTTTTTAATGTCTTGGAAATAAGTTTAAATAATGTGCAGCAAAAAAAGTATGTGATTTAATAGACCAGTACAAGGAAGTCATGTGGTGTCCGTATCAAATATTTTGTCTGCTACTAGACTTAAATTTGAAGCGAATAATGAATTTTTGTACCCCATAAAATGATCAAACTATCTAATTCTTATAGCTTTATTTTCTTCTTTTTTTGCAGAGTTACGACGAACAAGAAGCTCCGAGAGACAGTTGCCTTGGAGTTGAGTTTTGTCAACTCCAATTTGCAGCTACTCAAGGAGCAGCTCGCAGATCTGAATAGTTCCGTCAATATTTATCAGAACAAAAGGTATTGTACTTTTCTTCTTTACCTTTGTCGCTTAAATTTCTTTATAAAGTGTGTTTGCAAGAAAAAATTATTAAATTTGAAATTATTAAGTTTAAAATGTTATTTCGAAATTAAAATGAATTCTTATTACATTTGGAATTTGACAGTGAGTTTTTAATTTGGAAAAACTCAGAATTAAAAAATACTTTGAAATGTATAAGGATATAAAAATATAAGGAAAAAAGTTTATTTCAGGAATTCCCAAGTCTTTTTTTTTAATCGACACTTTTTAGAAGAATGATTTTTTTTTCCTTCGGCCTCCTTACATTTTTTTGTTTGTAATATACAGCATACAACATCATCATATTGCAAGAAGCCACCCAACTGGGAAGCGTAATGGCAAACCGCACATTGAGTTGATCAATGTTAAACGATTTTCGCTTACTGCGCATGCCCAGAAGAGAATTTGGCGCAGTTAGGACTTTGGCGCAATCTTAAAAGAAGATAAATATGGTATATGGTTGAGATACTGTGTTATTTTTGGGGTAAACAGTTCTGGTTTTTAAAGCGTGTCAGGTTGTAAGTTGCTTCATTACTTGGAGTGTAAATATCGATTATAAACTACGCAAATTTTCGTTTAAGGATAATTACAAAACAGAAAACATTACAAGCTTCTTCTGAGAAATAATCCCTTCATATATACTTTAATTAACTAAGGATTAAATCTAGTTTAAATTACTGAATTAAAGTCAAAGAAATTATTGTAAAAAAAGGTTATATTTAATGCAACGTTTATGAACAAAATAAATCAAAATGAAATGAAATAGAAGCAAATGCAATAAACACAAATTCCCGCAGTGTTTGCAATTGTAAATGGAATCGAGCTTGTTCGAACAGGCTTGTGTAGGGTTGCTTTGTCGCCAGCATTTTCTCCCATGCCAACGTACACCATTCAGCATGCGCAGTATGCGAAATTCGTTAACATTGATCAACTCAATGTGAGATTTGCCAATAAGCAACCGGGTTAGCGACGCTGACTGCTGTATTAAAGAGCCCACGTTCGAGTGGGCGTGGAGAGAGGGCCCACGTTCGCTTTAAATTTCAGTTTAGTCTAATGGATGTTTGTAAATGTATAGTGTCTGTGGGGCATGGGGGCACTCTAAGTATGCGGCGAGCCGAAAGCCTTGTCGAGAGGTTAAAGGTCGGGAAAGAGGAGTGGGAGACCTTCGTACCCGTCCCTCATAGCGCTCAAGGCGCTTACCAACGACAGGCGCAATCTTGATACCCTTGCTACAACGAATTTCTTGGGCTTTGATATCAGAGACCTGATATGATGTTACTGTCAATCGGGTGTGATAAGCCAAAAAAAATGATGAAGAACGTAAAGGTAACAGTTAGACTAATTATTTCTGTTATTAGTTTTAATTTTATAAATATAAACAAGATTTCAGAAAAAATAATCGCAGATTCTATTTGCATGAAAATAATTTAAATAAATTTTAAATAATGTGATACTTGCGCTTGATGTACTGATGCATTTAAAAAAATATTTGGTGCATTTTTATGTTATGTTTTATTATTTATGTTGTTATTATTTTTAATTTTAACAACATAAGTAATATAATAAGTTTTCAGAAACAAAATCACAGATTCTGCTTTCACAAAATTTCGATTTTAAATAATATTTCTTGCGCTTGAGATACTGATGCAATTTTTTTTAACATTTGCAATAAAACTGCTCGATTTTTAAAGCACGTTGTTCGAAAATATTCACCTTGTTTTTCGTTTTCCGTAGTAAATTATTGACTTGAAAAAAGCCTGCTTCCACTAGGTAAGACAAGAGAAAAGTCAATAATATTGGTTGGGTAAAAGATTTTATTTTGTATGACTTTCAGAATTCAAATCTTCGCGTGTGCTTTTAAAAAACGTATGCTTGAACATTTGTTTTCGATTCAATCAACAGTTTTTGCAACATAATATCGATTTTTGATTATGTTTTCTTGTGTTCATGCACTTTACAGGGTGTTTCATATTGAATGGGACAAAAAGAATGGCAGTAAAATTATGTAACTAATTTATTAAACCGAAAAAATTAATTCTGAAACTACAATTATATAAGTTTTATATGGCAACAGCGAAAACTTTCCGATTACGAAGTACTCCTTAGAAGCACTGCTAATCAAAATGGCGCCATCCATGCAGGAGAAATGTTCTCCATGTTTTAGAATACATCAAAACATCACCGTTTATCGTCGTTCTTCGCACGAAATTTAGTAAAGAACCACTGCATCGTCATAACATCGAACGGTGGGTGAAGACGTTTCAGAACACAGAGCTGCTTGTGCAAGAAAAGCAGGATTAACAACAGCCAAAACCAAAGTGGTTGAAAAAATTCAGGAAACATTTTTACGAATTTCCGCAGAATCAACGCATCGTACGAGTTCTGGACTCAATGTGCCTCATGCAACGGTGTTGCGTGTGTTACGAGAAACGTCTGCAATTCCAGCCATACATCTTTCAGACGATGCAGGCGTTAAAACCTTTCGACAAACCATTGCGTAAATCTTTCCGTGAGAATTTACAAGATAAGTTGGAGGTAGATGCTTTCGCGAACTAACTTGCATTTACGGATGAAGCCACTTTTCACGCTTCTGGCAAAGTTAATAACCTTAATTTACTATTTGAGGGAAAGGGAAATCTGCATGATGTAACGAATCATGAGCGTGATTCTCCAAAGGTGAAAGTTTTCTGCCGCCATTTCCAAGAGTAGTGTTTTTGATCTTTTTTTTCTTCGTGGAAAAATCGATTAGCTGGTGTATTTCCCAAGATACGTTATCAGAGTGGTGGTTCTCTCAGTTTGAAGAAGCGGTTCTAGGCTTCATTTTGCAGCAAGAAGCTCCACCACATTTGGATTAAAACATACGCCAGGACCTAAACGATAGCCTACTCCATCGTTGGATTGGTCGCGTTGATTGAAACGATAGCCTACTCTATCGTTGGGTTGGTCGCGTTGATTGAAACGATAGCCTACTCCATCGTTGGATTGGTCGCGTTGATTGAAACGATAGCCTACTCCATCGTTGGATTGGTCGCGCTGATTGAAACGATATGTCATTGCTTTGTTGGTTACCAAAATCCTATATCTAGCAGCTTGTGATTTTTTCCTGTGAAGTTTTATTAAAGACAAAGTGTTCTTGCCTCCATTTTCTCAGGACTTAAACAACTGAAGTAGAGGATTACTGAAGTGCTGGAATCATTAACAAATAATATTTAATCAGGGATGTGGCAGGAACTGTTGTACTGCATAGATATTTATTTGCTGTGTCATCACAGGGGCAGACATAAAACATCTACAGAAACTAGGATAGCTATAGTTTCACTATAAATTTGATTTATGAAAACAAAGTAATTACAGTATTCACGGGTATACTTTCTTTTTGTCCCATTCGATTGGAAACACTCTGTTATATTTTATATAGCACTTACTGGATAAAATATTTATATCTTAAAAATCTTTTTAAAAAAATATTCATTAAATAATGTATCAAGTAACTTTTGTGTACGTTCCCCTTTATATTTATTTTATATGATTTTTTCCTTACTATATGATATAGTTTTATACCAATAAACAATTATCAGTTGTATTAATAAATATTTTGCGCCCAAAGGCTTTGATCTTCATTATGACACCCACCAGTGGTGGTTAGTTTCGAGCATGTCTAGAACTTAGTTGCCAGTCATAGTTATTCAGGACGCACGCATTTTCTCACAGGATTATGTTCAGAAAGTGTTACTTTTTGGAGAGTTGCAATACCGTATGTCCTTTATAGCGTGTGCAAAACTCAGATTGCACTGTAATCACAGATCTGAATTGTTCAAAATGAAGATTACAGGAAACTTTCTCCAGCTGCTTCAACATGGCCGGCGTTATATATAAACTTATTACATGTAAATCGGAAACGTTTTTTATTATGCATCTGTAACGGTAACTTGGAATTCCTTTTCCTTATCAACTGCTGCGATGAAGTCATTAAAAAAGAGCTTATGATAACTGATTTTTATATTAAATATTACACATTGGCCCATAGGTTATAAAAAATCCATGACGTTTGTTTCTAAGAATAATATTTTTGTAGTTTATTTGAAGTCAATTTGCCTTGTAATTTGTATTAAACTTATTTACTATTTTAGATGCTCAAAATTTTATTTTATTTTAGTACTCCTCAGCTTGTGCCAATGATACCCTTAGGACTCAAAGAAACAAAAGAAATCGATTTCAGAGAACCGTTCAAGGTAAAATCTGTTTGTAAATAGTTTATGATATTGTGAATTCAGATGAAATTATTTTTCTTTATATAAACGCAAATTTCTAAGAAGTATAACATAAATAAACCAATAAACCACTAAACAATATTTTGTTTTATTGCTTCTGTTCTGAATTAATACTTTATTAATCTTTATGGCATTTTCTTTCTCAATTAACCCTTGACACAATTTTATTGTACCAAAAATGTGCAGTGAGAATCATTTGTTATAACAGACTCTTTTAAGTTTTAAGAATATTATCTTTGCCTAATTTAAAAATTTATAATGACTTAAACTCAAAATCGCCTCCGAAATGTATAAAATACACTAACAAAATAACAGAGGTAAAATGTGTATATCTCAAAATATTATTAGCAAATATGAATATATGAAATCAGAGCAGAAAAATTTAAATTTTGATTTGATTGATTGAAATTTTGATTGATTTTAGGACCAACAATGTTGGGCAACAGAAGACTTCTGTGTTTCCTTTTTTCTAACATATGCCTCATGTTCCTTGACGCGAAATTTTAAGGCTCTCTTAGTTTGGCCAATGTAAATTAAACCACACTGGCAAGGAATCCTGTAAATACCCCAGAATTCATATCCGGAATGGGGTCCTTGAGTATGGAACTCGGAATTTTATTGATGGGAGAATAAACGACCCGAAAGTTAAATTTCTGCAAAAATATGTGCAACTTTATAGCTAATTGATGGAAAGAAGGGAATGACAACAGAATTTTTATAATCTTCTAAAACAAGAGTGTGCCTTTTAGTGTGTTGAGATGAGAATTTTTTAACTGCTTGATTAATAATGTTGGGTGAAATGCCCCTGTCAACAGCTATTGCTTTTAAATAATTTAGTTCTTCATCAAGGGATAGTTTGGAGGAGCAAACTTGAAGAGCACGGAAAACATAGGAATAAAATGAAGCTAACTTTTGTTTAGTCGGATGACATGATTTAAAGTGTGGTGGAAGGCAAACCGATGAAGGTTTACGGTAAACCGTAGTAATGAAGTTGAATGTGTTACGTGTGACCACAATGTCGAGAAACGGAAGAGAATTGCAAGTCTTAAGCTCAAAAGTGAGCTGAATAGCAGGATCAATAGAATTCATTGTAGAAAGAACTTTATTTAAATCATCTTTATTGCTTTCAAACAGGATAAAAGTATCGTCTACGTAGCGGAACCATACCGGGAAGTTTAAAGTTTCAAACAATTTTGATTCATAATAATGCATGTAGATATCAGCCAGGATAGGACTGAGGGGGCTTCCCATGGCTAATCCCTCATTTTGCTTATAATATTTATTTTGAATTAATGAATTTTCAATTATGAATGTAATTTGGTCTGAAATACTGCCATTGTGCCATGAAGAATAAAAATGTCAGTATGGAACGAAACGGAAGATTAAATTCTTGAACTTCCAATTTTAGGAGACAATCTTTCAATAAGATAAGATAATAAGATGAGATAAATAGTGAACTTTTCTAGTTTTCTGAACCTTCTAGTTTTCTGAACCTTCTCAACGATACTTTATGCTGTTTTTTGAAAATTATTTATCACAATAAAACTTACTCTTTCGATTAACTCATACAGAGTCCTAACAAGAAACTGATATCATCTAGTATCTTATCTTGAGCCTCATAAATGCTTTTATGGGATTGAGGTGCGGAGAAACTACAGCCTGTCTTCAGAGTAACCGCTTGAACAACTGAACTCAGATTGCCGTGATGCATTCTTTCGTGAAAATAGATCCAAGTCCAATGAGCAGCACATGTCTGCTACTGTAAGACACACGACAAATCCTTCATAATATCCTATATTAGCAGATACATAAGGCTCCAATGGCACCACAACAAGGCATCATGAAGAGGGCGCTATTCCTCTTAGCTTTTGGCAACTGCTTTCTCTCCATCGACGACGTGAGGCAGTATTTGTTTCTTTCAGTACATCATGAGTGCGTCCCATACCATAGTTAGCCGTTCTTTTCCACCTTAATAGCCACTTCCTGAGCAAAAAAATTCCTGGCAAAAAGAGCGTGTATTTCGTTTACGGAAGATGTATTCAGTACCTGGGCTCTGTATATCGGTTCATTATAGAAGATGACAGAATCTGATCGTCATTGTATCCAGAAATTATATTCGAATACTTTAAGAGATAAATTTTCGTTTGGAAGGGGCTGAGGTAACACACATTTAAATATTTCATTGGGCTCAAGTACTTTTTATGAGACAGTTGTTTATGTATGCTGTTAACTAGAATATAATATTTCTGAAGCTACTGACGAACTCAAGAGAGAGCTATCTGGCTATCATCTGTCTAACACTTTCTCTAGAAGATATCTGGATTTGAGAGTGACCTCAGTATAATTTTCTGATGGTGTTATCAGATTCTTGTAATAGTTTTAGGAACATGCTTCGATTTTTCTGAAACCTGCAGACATTAGTCACATTGATTAGCCAGCTCAGTTCTAAAATTCATGTGAACTGGTGATAAAAATAATTGTGAAAACTCATTTTAACGAACTGTGATTTCTCTGAGTATATTCAAAGCCCCTCACATAAGAGCCAAAGGAGTAGTATAAATATTGCTTTTACATTTGCATCATTAATAAAAAGCCATTTACATATCTAAGTAGATTTCGAATTCATTTAGTTTTGGAAATTAAATGTAATTGTCGGCATATAAATTTTTGCTAGTAGATATTTCGAATAATTTCAAAGGTGCTTGTCAATTTATATTTTACCAAAAGTGTACCTATAGATCATAAGAAAAGTACTATGTAAGTGTTACTATGTTTCTGTTTCTAAGAAGCAGACTGAAGATGAAGTCCATAAAATTTCGAAGAAGCATATAGAAATGATTTTATTTCTCCAGCTACTCCTGAAGTGTGTCTCATCCGAAAACTTAGAGTAAAGAAAGCTACACGTTTTAGCGCCCTTCCTAACAAGGCTATCAAAGAAACGCTGAAAAATGTCATCATTCTAATAACCAGTACTTTTAACTCATATCTTCGACATCAGTATTTCCATCAGTAGTGAAACCATGTTGCCGTCATTATTTTCTCTAAACCAGGAAAAGACCTATCAATCTTTTCCATTGCTTAGGGAAGCTTTTTGAAAGGATTATCCAACGAAGTTTCATTGAGCATAGGAAGAAATAGGATCCCATTAGTAAAACCCAATTCGGATTCCGCAGAGGGCAAAGTACATTAGTTCGTTAACGTGGTCGATAAAATAGCGAAAGTCTTCACGTGACGACACGTTCAGTTCTTCTTCAGACGTCAGTCGCGGCATGTTTTCTTGATTTTGAGAAAGCACATGATCTCGTCTGGCATCAATTGTTAATTTTCAAATTCATAAAATTTTTATTCCCTTCCAATTAAGTTAAAACTATAAATTTATACTTAACGCACAAAACTTTTCAAGTCCGTACTGAAGACGAGTTTTCAACTAGAAAGCTTATTACAGCTGGAGTTCCTCAAGGCTTGGATTTAAGTCCAGTTTTTTAAATCTGTTTGTTATCGATCTGCTAGATCCCTCTGGTAACGTATGAAGCGTAATATGCTGATGATATAACAATTTTAAGTGTTTCACGTAACCTAAATCATGCAATGGTCAAGCTCCAAAATAGTGTTTGTAGTATTTCTCCCTGATGTTCAAAATAGCGTATCAAAATCAACTCACTAAAAGCTGTGTTATTATCTTCATAACATATGAGAAAAATTCCAACATATTAAAAGATATTTTCATCAATCCTCAACACAATACTTTTAGTTATTTCAGATAGCCAACTTATTTTTAAATAGCATGTTGAATATTTATTCATTAAGGCTAACTCCGCTTGCATGTCCTTATACAGCCTGCTTGGCAGTAATTCAAAACTTCGTTTTGAGAGAAAAAGAACTCTCTATATTTTTTATAAAGCCAGCACTTACTTAGTCCGTACTAGCTTGAGCAATCGTTCTCAAATTCCAGCGCAAAGAAAATTACATCGTTTGCAGAATAAGCTACCGAGAAATATAGTCCATACTCCATGGGTTAGTGTAACAGTATAAATTTAAATGAGCTGAATACAGTTAACTCGCATGACAATATTTTAACAACTTGACATAACTTCTTTAACTTCAGAGTTTCCTGCCATTGCTGTACTTATAGCGTATCATTAAGTAACGAAATTATACTCTGATGTCTAATCATAGAGCATAAGTATTAAATAATTTTAAAAGACTAAGGACAGTGCATCTCGATTCTAAGTGGTGAAGGTTGACCTAAAGTAATGAAGTGAATATTTTTAGGACTTTTCAAGTTTTCGTGTACTATATCATTTTATCGTACATCCAGGGATTGGGAGTGATTCTTGTTAGTCATTTATATAAACGTCACTTAGTGTCTAGTGATGTCTGTTAATGATTATAATCGAATTAGGACGGTATTTAACACTTTCATCGTGGCAATGGCGCGCCTTTGTCCAACCCTCAGCGCTAAGTCTGCGCCGCTTCTCGCAGCGCTAAAATTGAAACAAAACACGAATTCTTTTAAAACTTGTTTATTTTACTTTGGAAAATGACAATCAATTGCAATCAATAAAAATTCTCACTATAATGATTTATTTGTGTTTACAGACATAAAAATAATAATAATAAAATAAAAATCCTAAATATTGCATAAATTAGAATCTCTCTGAACTGTAATATTTTTCAAAACAACGTGCTACACATAATGCTGACTTTGATGTGCATGTTTTGTACAGATAACGAGTGTCTCTCGGCGAATTACATACGACCCACTTCCGTCTTTGCGTAGCTTTACTTGAGGTTGCTATTATTATGTCCAAGTAATGTTGTACTTCCATTCGCGACATATCGGAGGATTTATGAGAGAACGAGAAACGTAATGAAAGTGAAGAAAAAACGAGAAACATAATAAAAATGAAGGAGAAACGTAATAAAAGTAAGAAGAGAGAAACGTAATAAAGAAAGAAAAAGAAAGAGAAAAAGAAAAACGAGAAACGTAATAAAAGTGAAAGAGAAAGAGAACCTACGAGAAACGTAATGAAAGTGAAAGCACTACACATTGTGCTCCTGGCGCCACCTTGTAGAAATGTTGTAAAGACAAAGTATTAGAATCCGCTATACGCTAAAATGTCGATGAAATAAGTCGCGGAACACGCTGCAATAATACACAAAAAGCTTGAGTAGATGATGAGTTATCTCGTCCCCCGCGCATAGAAAATATTCTTTGAAGACGCGTTATTTCGTCTCTCGCGTTAAAAGTGTTAATTCCAGGGACTTTTTATTGTTTATATCCTCCAGCTCGACAGTATAATTCACTCTAGCAGTGCAGCTCTGTGTGCATTGATAGATATTTTCGGCCAACTTTTTCAGAGAATATGTCCCGAGATTGAGGTAAAAACCCGCAGATGGGTATAGGCCTGAAAAAGTTTGAAGTTTCCAGATTTTTCAGTTGCTTAAGCGGATGAACTAATAGCTGCTGGATATGAACAGCTATCACAGATTCAGCGTTATCGATCCTGATACAGGATGCCATAGGCAAAATGGCGAAATAAATATCAACGCGACACTCGCCACCACCCACTTACCTCAAGTTCCTATTTCGTGTGCCAACGATTGCATAAAATGACGCAGATATTTTCGGCAATGCTCAGTGTAATCGGCCTTCTAATGTATTCTGTATTTGTATGATATACTTGCATGGTATGAAATGAAGAATTAACATTTTGTAATTTACAAAATTGTCCAATCTTCCTGAGTTTCGTTTTTCATAATGCACTTCTTTTAATTTAATTTAAAATAACACCCCGAATAATGATTATTACTTATAAATATTACGTTGATTCTTGTTGTTTGACTTTTCCAATAATCACTTCTTTTAAATTGATTAAAGACCGATTTTTCATATCCAGAATCTGAAAAGATATCCAACCTTGGAAACCAATTCGAAACAGGATTTGGACGGAATTCGAAACAGGACTCAAAACGGAACTTAAAATTATGGCTAAATTTTATTTCAAAAATTCAACTTTGTAACTGGCAGTTACTAAAAATAAAATGATATTTGTTTGTTTTGGGTAACAAATTATAAAATAGATTATTCAATATTTGTATCTTCGTAACTTACACTTTGTGATGGCTCTGTGGTTGAATAAGGCACCATTTAACAAGACAAAACAAACATTTATTTAAAAAAAAAATCCGAAACCTTTCAGATTTTAAATTACGTCCGAAGGGGCCTTTTTTTTTTTAAAGTTTTGTGTGTTACATTTATTTATTAAATATCATGTTCTTTGCACTTAAACCATAAAATTCAGTTCAATAGCAATGTCGCAATATAATTTTAAAATGAGCATACTATCTTTAGAATTTCCGATACATAGTTCCGCGGCGCTGAAGATAAAAAGGTTTTTTCTCCCCCCCCCCCCGTAAATTGTTGCCATTGTTCGCTTTGAAATCCTTGAGTTTGTTAATCAAAAATTCGTAAAAGTTTTACAAACTAGGAAATCGATCATAAAACAAATTCCAAATTTCAAATTTGGTCTTCCACATGCCCATATTCGTAGGAGGATTACGTCATTCAAAATTCGATGCCTCTAGGATTTGGCGATGTGAGAAATATACACACATTTATGCAGATTTTTCATTATTTAATTTCTTCAAATATAATGCAGGACTCTAACATTTGGTGGCAACAGTTTGAAAAGTGAAACGGACATTTATAGTGATTCAACGCAAAATCGCAAAACGAAAACAATAGTCCTTCAGGGACAAAGCCTCTTTGGACTAAAAATAACATTTAAAGAATGATATTAAACTCAGAGCCGTTCGTCGCTCCTACAGCATAGCAAAGATCGAGAACCTTTGTCCTCCGAGGCTAATATGCAACTCCTAAAATACAGTAACCCTCTCTGAAGAAGAGGCTACACGCGCGCCAAGCGCGCTTGTTGATCGTCAAACAGTCACCAGATACTACACATTTTTATACGTTGTTAATTAATTTCAAATTATTAACAATATCATATTATGTAATCACCTAACTTAAATAATATTATAATATTCTTTCAATTTTCGCCAATGTTAAAACAGAAGTATTTATCTTTCTTACAAATTTTAATGTTTTCAGGATTTTATACTAGAACATTACAGTGAAGACAGCAGCAAATATGAAAATGCAATCAAAGAGTTCATGGAGATTCGACAGGTAAGTTTACAGCTGACGACCTATGTTATTCCTTTATATTTTTTAATTAAAATGTAATTAAGTACTTATTTGCATATTGCCTTTTGAAGGCAATTTCGGAAAAATATGCTTTCTAAAGTCGTACATGTAATGGGGCCCACCTCAACATCCCGACACCTGTAAGCCCGACATCCAAAATCCTGACGGCCGAAAATCCGCATGTGAAAATCCAGACGTTATTGTTGCGACAGGTTCGTGAATTTGGAGTGATTGGGATGACAACACTTGATGAGGAGTCAAAACACAATTTATTTGCCAGTATTACACAGGACAGTTCCGTTACGCGTTACAGTCGTCGAAAAACTACGACGAACACCCTGAAACAAACAACAGCACAGCCTTTAGGCTAATCAGGCTATAATGGCGAAGACAGCTTCACGGCAAAGCACTAAATTACAGCTTCTGACTTGGTCGATCGCTCTCAAGCTAACCTGTGTACTCTACTATTCTGCTGCTGAAATCAAGGTACTCTACTACACTAAATATAGGTATATATACACTAATATAGGTGCAGGCATAGGTATATACACTGGGGGGGGGAGAGATTCATTCACTCGTACATCACAAAGGTGTTCATATTCTGACCCTGATGAAAAGACTTCTTTATGTCTTTGCCGCTTGGAATAACCTTCGAGACTGCAAACGGAATCATTAACAAAGGCAGCTCATTTCAGAAGGATTTCATCTATGGACTGAAAGAGGGACCATTGCATTCTGAAATCATTCATCCTAGACAAAGAACCTCTATACGACCTTATCATAAGTAGAATCTTAAGCAGATTTACCATATTTTCATATTTGGTGATTTAAACCAAAATTTATATGTGTTAGCCTACGTTCTGTGAAGTATGAGGAAAAAAGTAAATAAGTAACTAGATTATCAAAATCTTAAACAATTTTATGATATTTTAAGATCTTGTTTATCTTTTTTCTTATTTAGGCTGTCCGGACTCCTACCAGGGACTACAATGGCGTAAAGCTCCTGTTTGGCTACTATAATTTGCTGTATTATATCGACAGGAGGTTCTTTCCACCACACCGGAATATGGGAATATTTTTCGAATGGTAACATTCATGGCATATAAAAATTTCACTTTTTTATGTTTTAAAGTTTCCAAATGTATAAATTAAACACTTCGATGCAAAAAAAAGGGTATTGAAGCCTTTTTATCTCAAGGACAGGACAAAGTGTCTCATTGGCAAAAACCGGTCATTGTATCTCAGGGCAAGGGAAAAAAAATACAATATTTGCTCACTTATCTGCCCTTTTGTTATTAATTTTGCCCTTTAATCAGACGGTCATCTTTTATTTGGCAGTTTTGCTAACCCTAAACACATTGCTCACACTTTGTTCACTCTACCTAAACAATTCATCATCAACATAATTAGTTTAGGTCATTTAAAGTTATTAACTTATAAGGTTCCACATAATGTAATGATAGATACTGATATAACTATGGATTTACGTTGTCAATCGCTCTCAAGCTAACCTGTGTACTCTACTATTCTGCTGCTGAAATCAAGGTACTCTACTACACTAAATATAGGTATATATACACTAATATAGGTGCAGGCATAGGTATATACACTGGAGGGGGAGAGATTCATTCACTCGTACATCACAAAGGTGTTCATATTCTGACCCTGATGAAAAGACTTCTTTATGTCTTTGCCGCTTGGAATAACCTTCGAGACTGCAAACGGAATCATTAACAAAGGCAGCCATTTCAAAAGGATTTCATCTATGGACTGAAAGAGGGACCATTGCATTCTGAAATCATTCATCCTAGACAAAGAACCTCTATACGACCTTATCATAAGTAGAATCTTAAGCAGATTTACCATATTTTCATATTTGGTGATTTAAACCAAAATTTATATGTGTTAGCCTACGTTCTGTGAAATATGGGGAAAAAAAGTAAATAAGTAACTAAATTATCAAAATCTTAAACAATTTAATGATATTTTAAGATCTTGTTTATCTTTTTTCTTATTTAGGCTGTCCGGACTCCTACCAGGGACTACAATGGCGTAAAGCTTCTGTTTGGCTACTATAATTTGCTGCATTATATCGAAATATAATTAAACTTATAAGGTATTTTATCTCTCCTTCCACAATGCCTTCGTGGTGTAACGGTTACACACTCGGCACGTATTCGAAAGGTCCAGGTTCGAGTTCCGGCGAGGGCATTGCTCATTTTTCATGTACTCCTGCTTCAAAAACTTAATGACTGTACAAACTGATTCTGTAATAGCATAATTAGTTTACTCATGCATTGCAATATTCTTATTACTTCTTTCATATAGTAATGCAGTATCAATATATACATTTCAGCGTAAATACAACAGAGCTACCTAGCATAAATGCATAACAGAAACATTATGCACACACAATACATACAAAAGAACAGACACACAATATACGTAATACAACAGACCTACGTGATGTGAATTACAGTATTTATACAAATACATATTAGAAACATATTATGTTTTCATGTTACCACGTTACGTTATTGTGGCACGCAAAAGGTAAGGATGGAATAATTTTCATATGTGATATAGCGCAGCATTGTCTCAAATTGGTACAAAGCATTGTTCAGGCTAAATTTCTCACACACAAAATCTAACATAAACTTCACTTGAACTTTGAATACTAAAGTAGTTCAATCACGACAGTTAAACTTCAGGTAAAATAACTATACTTGAAATAACAATAAATTTAAATGGTAAAGATGAAGTGCACTGATTAAAAATAAAAAATAGAAAAAGGAAGGAATCCAATATATGAAAAGGATCTCTGTTCAAATTTGGGTTCTAAACATAAAAGGATAGGCCCGATGGCGCAGTGGCTAGCGCATCGCGCAGCAGCACGACAGGTCCGGGGTTCGATTCCCGAGCTGGGCAAGGTCGACTCAGCCTTTCATCCCTTGATTTCCATCACTTGAGTCGATAAAATGAGTACCAAGTTCGCTTGGTTACTAAACACAGGGGGTCCTGCGACAAGCTGACTACTTCCTCAGGGCATATGCTTACGCAACATGGGGGCCCATGGTCAAGAAAGCAAATTTTGGCCACTGCAGGCCTTGGCCCATTAGGGCTATTACACCACTGAGTTGAGTTTACATAAAAGGATAGGAGACAGAAACGTCAATGAAATTGACGTCAAGTTAACAAAGGTCTGAGTAGAGGATATGACCATCTCCTAAACATCATCAGTTTAAAGCAGTTAAAACAATTTTTTCACTTAAAGTTTATGCGCCAAAATGAGCAATTCGGCAAACTGGCAAGAAGACCAAGTTTTCAATTAACGAAACTGAAAGTCAACTTTTGATGCCACTGTGCTTAACAACACTGAAGTTGGTGCACCAAATGATTTAATTCACAATTCTACTCAGATTTTCAAAGGTAAACAACTGTCGGCCTCGTTAGACAAGCGCCGCTTAAACTTTTCAATTGTTGATAATTCTGAAACTATTACATCAGATTAACTAAAGACACAAAGAGCTTGACTGGGACATAAGAACAACCTAATTTCAACTACTTTTAATGCAAAAAATGCACCATTTACCAGCATACAAGTATAAAAATACTGAGTTCATCGAGCCGGCTAACAGAGTGGGAAAGAGTGAGTATATATATATATATAATCCCATCCTGTTAGCACTATATTTCCATCCCCGATTGCAGTGAAAATGGAAGATGCACAACTACATGTTATAGAAATCCCATATACAAAATTTCAACGTTCTACGGCTACTCCTTTTTGAGTTATGCAAGACATATACGTACGTACGTTCAGACGTAACGAAGAAAAAAACTTCTGAATCCATTTTAAGTCCACTTTACTGTCCGTTTTGGAAATGAGAATCCTTTATCCTATTCCTACATACAGATACCACGGAAAGAAAAAAAAAAAACCTTGACATGGATTCAATAGCGGTTAAAACGGATACTTTCGTTAAAATATGACACCCGAAATTTTTCGCGATTACAATACTTTTTTTACTTTGTACAAGGAAGCAAAACGAGTATTTAAATTTGTCCATTGTTTCCTTAAACGTATGAACTTCATTTTCCTGTTTTCAGATTTGGAATTAAGCTTTACGTTAGTTTCTTTTTTCTTTATTATTATTATTATTATTTCTTTTAATTTTACAAATTTTATTTTCATTAATTGTTATTTATTTCATTCGCGATTTGTCCATTTATAACATTTTCCCGTAACATGTTACTTTTTAAAATTTGAAACATAATTTTTTTGTATTTATTACATTTTGTCTAATTTGTATAGGTTTGATTCATTGACTGGAGTGCCAAGCACACAGAAAACAATAGCTTTCGAAAAAGCAAGCGTTCTCTTTAATATAGCTGCTCTCTACACACAAATAGCTGCCAAGCAAGTATGTTTCCGAAATTCGCTATCATACAATAAATGTTAAGAATCTTATATTAAAATTTTTACTTTATCTAGAAATGCTGATACTCTGAAATTTACAGTTGGAAAACTTGTTTTAATCAATCAAAATGCTTAGTGCTTTTTAAATTTGCTTCTTATTTTGAATTCTCTTTCGATGATATAGCTGGCGAGATGTTTATATAATACAACAAAATGCATGTCGAATCTAATAATATGCGTTTCTGCAACCTAAATATCTGAGATATGAGTTAAATGTACTGAAAATACATTAAAAAATTTAATCTTTTTTTTCCTAATTGTTTTAGTTTTTCTTAACATCATAATTACTTTTTTTTTTTTTTTTTTTTTTTTTTTTTTTTTTAAGAAATGAAAATTTTTTGTACGAAAAATATTTCTGCAATTGATTACAATTACACATAACTAACTCATAGTGCATTTCGTAAACATCGATGACGCATATCGAAATCATAATCACTGTATGTGTGAGCATTTTGTCAGGAAAAAAACTCGAGCGAATGCAAAGCAAAATTAATTTCTCTTCGAGACTTGCATACGGAAGAAATCAGCGTATTTATAAATTTTCAAGTATATAAAATTCCTAGAAATATATAAATTAGTAATCGAAATATATAAATCAGAGTAATTAATTACATTCTTCTAACTAAATAAATTTAAAAAGGATCTTTTGGAAAGAGTGTTGAATTTTTGTTTTTGAGTTTAACAATTAAAGTCTATTTTTGTAAGGTTAAATCTAGCTTACTACTTGTAGCTTACCTACAATTATGTCATTAATATATTGGGTTGCCCGAATGAAAGTTCGTACCGATTTTTGGTAAGTGACGTAAGAGTAGGTTTGAATAGATCTGAATAGAGTAGGTCTGAATAGGTCTGAATTGAAAACAAACGACATGCATACATATCGTAAAAAACGGTACTTAGGAACATTTTGAAAAACATTTAGTTACGATACGTTAATTTTTGTTAGTTTTCTACGCCTTTGAATACGGAAGAAAGCAAAGTACATTTTAGACATTTAATGTTTTTCTTTTGCCAAAGAGGCAAAAGTGACACACAAGCTAGCTGAACGAACTGTGCAGAAGTGGTTTGCTAGGTTTAAAGTTGGTGATATAAACTTTAAAGATCAAGAACGTCGGGGTAGGCCTTCACCGCAGATGAAGGTCAGACTAAAGCTTCATGTCAAAACCTACCATCCACGAGCATTTTGTGGAGCTTAGCAACATAAACCGTTTTGATGCATGGGTTCGCCACGATTTAACGGAGAATAATCTGATGGATCGCATGCTGTATAAAAGAAACAGGGAGACACCATTTTTGAAGCAGTGAACAGGGTTGAAAAATAAATATTTTTTAATAATGTTGAGCGAAAGATTTTGGAGAAAGCGGAATGAACCACCTTTAACCACCCCAAAATCTGGTCTTCGTTTAAAAGAAGGCCTTGCTTTGTATCTGGTGGCATTAGAAAGGGATCCTGTATTATGAGCTTTTACCAAACAATGAGACAGATGAGAGGTGACGGAGGACGGGGACGCCTGATGTTTAACAGAGGTAAACAGGCATATGTCCCGCGCCCTCTCCTATCTAGTGACAGCAACTCCCAGGAGCCTCATGAGGCAACCTCGGGAGTTTATTGAAGAATTTTACGTAATTGTACATGGCCATACAGAGGCGTCTTAAGAATACATTAGTTTTGATAGATAGGCGAATGATTTGTTACGTCTTGGTTTGTCAGCTACTAATTACAGCATATACAAACACATACACTTACACTTTCACATATAAAGACTCATACAAAACACTTGTAAAACACATATATAACACACATATAAAACATGTAAGCACATTATAGAATAATAGAAATTAGATACTAGTTTGCACACAATTGTACATGTAAAACATATAATGAAACATAATTAAGCTAATACGTATTATACCCTTACACTAAAGACACATATAAATCACATAAAATATATAAATAATAAACATACATAAAGCATGCAGACACACTGTAGAATATTAATTTTTTTTTATTAGATTGTAGTAATTACAGATGAAACTTTACGCTGTAGAATACATTATATCAGGTATACAATACTTATATAATTTGAATAGATATGGAGCGCATTTTATATAGACAATGCTTACAGAATTGATACACAATGTAAAAACAGATACACTATGCTTGTAAAGTATTAGATATTAGGAATTATACTGCGCACAATTGTACAAACGAAATAAGACACTATACTACTATATACAACACAGTTATGTTGTACAATTATGCAAACACAATTATACTAACGTATTAAAAGACAGAATAAAACACTATACTACCATATACATAATAAATTCGAGACGTATTGTTCCTATTCAGACAAATTAAAGACAGCAATTGAATAAAAACGTCCAGAAATAGCGAATCGAAAGGGCGTCATGTTTCATCAGGTCTATTCCCGGCCTCATGTATCTTTGATAATATGAACGAATCTACCATATTCACGAGATCTCGCGTCCTCTGATTTTCGTCTTATTTCGATCATTACAAAATTCCTTAATGGGAAAATCTGCAAGTCTTTGGTCGTGATAAGAAATGACGTAGAAAAGTTTTTCGTTAAAAAACCTGAGAGATTCTAGAAGGACGTAATTTTCAAGTTTCATGAAATATGGAGAAAGGTAGTAGAACAGAATGGCATCTGCATAATTTAATGTGTACTAAAGATTATATCTCCAGCGTTTCAACTTTCCTTCAAAATTGGCACGAACTTTCCGGACAACCCAATAGTATGCATACGCTACAATCGCGCTCCATACTTTTAACTCCGTACTTCTAAGTAGAAGGTATTGTTCAGATTAAGAAAGTATTACATTTTATATTATATAACCCTTAATAAGTAGGTGCATGATACAATTATATTTTTAAAACGCTGGTCATTTTTGCTAGGAGCAGCGTCTGGTGCAACTCATTTAACGTTTCGTGGGCAGGAGTGCCATTTTCAATTCCTCTCAAAGTTTCTTCTTTCTTCAATTTGAATCCGTCTTTATTACAGAATTAATAGATAGTTCCTGTGCCTTTATTAAGACCTTACGTATCTTCTTGTACCTTAAAAGTTCTTTATTTTCTATCGTTGCTTTCACCGTCGGTTGGTGTTTTAAAGTTATCCAGTTCTTATTTTGTTATTTTACAATGTCTTTCTCCACTAATTCTTTGATTTCTCCTTCTTCCATATCCAAAAATCCTTTGCTGCCTGTTACTTTTATAATTTGTATGATTTCCTTGGTTTCATTTTCAGTCGATGGAAATCCTTAAAAATTGTTGACAGCCTTTCGCCAGAGCTGATGCATAGCATTTGTTTGTTGATGAAATGATTTGTTCCCATGCAAGTTTAATCGTTTAATCACTGGCAGCTAGTGGTTAACTCCCGCTGGGTTGTTAACCAATTTTGCATGGATATATCTAAACCTGGGTCGGAAGCCAACTCAGCGGTATACCGCTTCTAACCAGCATACCGTCTGGACGACAGGTTATGCTGTTCTAAGTAGTTTTGACTTCTTTAATGAATGAATTTTCAAACCGATTATTAAAGAGGGCTGTTGCAATGCCGACCCTCTCTAATGTACTACATATAATTGAAATTCTTACATTGAACGAATTAGTTGGAAACAATTGAGTTGAGGCGTATGTGCAAAATCGCGTTCCGCAAATCCACGTTCGGCAAGGGTTTTCTATATTTTCATCTGAAGTCGCTATACTAATGAATAAAAACGATAGTAGAGTCCAATTAAACGTTTATTCACTACGAACTTGCTGTTACAACTATTAGGCTTATAGAGCTTTTATTAGGTAGAACTAATACCTAATAAAAGGACTCGTAATTATGCTCGACCTTTAAGTGTAAACACAATCATATAACAAAAATATTTTTATGGAAAGCCAGGACAACTACCAGGAAGTTTAGGAGAGAAACAATTCTCTAGGTGCGTTGCTAAACTATTTTCCATAAATTTATACCTTCGTTCGCTATATAAATGCCATATGATTTACATTTCTCTCGTGGATGACGCAATATATAGAAGTATAGAGCAGATTAAACACAGAAAATTAACGTATTAATTAACATAACCGTATATCTTACTGTTAAAAAATTAACATAAAACTTAAAATACTTATTACATAAAAGTCTACTTAATTGATACGATGTTTAAAACAACTATTTTTTATTTATTTAAGGCCTTTTTTACATTGTTTCATTCATCTGTTCATGCTACTATATGATTTATTTTCACACGAACCAAATCAGGTACTGTAATTTTATCGCACTTTGTGTACAGAACTAGTATACAATTTCTCTGAACACTATATTTAAGTAGTTTAATTAGGAAGTACTCTCAAATGCGGTGTTCGTTTTCATGCAGGAAATTAATTAATGGCCTGGTAAAATTCTACATTTTCACCAGCACAGCTAACATGATAATAAAACGTTTTATTAAAATGTGTTGCGTATTTATATGTTTATCGTATTTTTTATTAATTAATTTATTTTTCACTAGAAGTACCTCACATATTAAAAAATTGTATTTGTAAATTTTAGGATCGGCTGAACAGTTCAGGTGTAGATGCAGCTGTCGACAATTTCTTGAGGGCTGCTGGAATGTTTCGTTACATCCGAGATAATTTTAGCAACGCTCCCAGCATGGATCTGTCGTCAGACACGTTAGATACCCTTATCCAACTTATGCTGGTATATTTTCCTGCATTCATTTGCTGAAGATGAAATGTTTTAATTAAGTACCTAATAATTCAAATGAAAGTTTATTAATTTCTTGGTTTTTGTCCGAATGACTAAAGAAAGTAATGTTATTTTTAGAAGCTATTTTGTACGGTTCCATATTACTTAAATGGTAACTCCTAAAACGGTACAGGCAGATAGATGACTTAACGTTCTGTTGTAAATTCTAAGTAGAATTACTGCAAATTCTGATGAAAGCTTAAAATAAACATTTTTTAATTAATATTATCAGGTTCAGTGTTTCTCCTTACTTGCTTGGGGAACATTCAAGAACCTGACTCGGAACAGGGAGCTTACTAAAGCTATGTTCAATAAATGTGGGAAGTAGACAAGATACACAGGAAGGGTATACGAAACCCTTTATTTTCACTCTTACAATAATTTCCGACTTCGGAATACAGAGACCAACCACTTGTGGTCCTGAACGTAAGATATAAAAATATTAACTAAATTCTAACTTAACTTTGGAATAATAAACAAGGGCCTACGGAAAGATTGGCCGTAATTTAACAGGAAGCCGTATGTAGTACAGAGAACTGTAACACTACAATACTTTTAAAATTATAAAGAGGATTAAACCTCTGGCCTGGAAGCAAACCAGCTACCGAGTAAAAACTGCTAAGGCAAGCGGCCTGCTTCTACTAACTCCTTCCTCTCTCTTGCTTGGCAAAAAGCCACAACTTAAGTACTTGGCGTTCGCCAGACAAATTTGCATAAAAAAAAATTAAAGCTTTTAATTCTGGCCAGAAGTAGAAAATAAGAAGTGATAGTAAAGATTTAAAATAAAATAAACGTTAGTAAAACTTAAGATCCTTACAATATGTCACCCTGACGTTTACACAAAATTGACAACACTAACAGAAAATCAAATCTGAAATGGGAATTCAGAACAAAAGTTCAGATAGTTCAAATGTTCAGTTTGCATCCTAATTGGAGCTGACGAAAGTAGAAATGAAAGTAATGGCAAAATAATAAGATAACTGGGTTAGTTAATATAACTGTACTATTTCTGCGAATATGTTTAATTATACAATAGTATTAATTAATGTTTATGTACATTGCACAAGGATCAGAAATTACACATGCAAACGTCTGCCCTAATATTTATTGAAATTTCAAGTACTGCGTAAATTACTTGAATCATTTTGGTACTTTTTGTTGTCGCATTTATAAACTAATATAAACATTTAAGAGACCAACTGTAATTTCATTATCAACTTCAATTTCGTTTATTGTAAATTTTGAATTTGTTTTTGACACCAAAATGTTCTGATATTTATCAAGTTACTGCATTGTCAAATGAAAACTAGCACAAAGCCCTCAATCTATGCAGCTGTTTATCAGAGCAAGAAACACGAAGAATGGGCAATGCCGTCGCCGGGATTTAACTTCGCATTTCCCGATTGCTAGTCGCATGTGCTTTCAGTTACACCACGAAAAAAAAATCTTACAACCCAACTCCAGAAACTCTAATGCACTCGACTATTTTGCTCTCTGCTTAATTAAGTACTTAAAGTATATTTCATAATAATTAGATTCAAATAGTGTATAGGAATTCTTAATGCTATTAAAATGTTTAATACTAATGCAAGATTCCATTTGTTACTTCAAAAGGTTTCACCAAACATGTTTTTTTTTTTTTTTTTTTTTTTTTTTACATATAATATCTTGAACTTAATTATTGTTACTTTAATTTCATATTACCAGAATTTATTTATTTATTTATTTACTTGATTGCTCTCTACGTGTTTTTACTATAGTATAGTTATAGGTAGGTATCTCTAATTATAGATCTTATTTTACAAAAGTGCAGAAACCATTTACTTTCATTTTATTGAAGTTTTCATTCGTGAGGAAATTCCTTCTCATTAAAATAATCTGTTCTTTTTAAAAGAAGTGATTTTTCATTTAGGCTCAGGCAAGAGAATGTCTTTTTGAAAAACTAGTGCCTGGTGTTGAAAAGCTAGGCCTCCAGACATGTTTGGAAGTTGCTCAAGAAGCACAAGAGGTAAACTATTTTGAGAACATAATTTCAACAAAATAATAGATTTATGCGTTAATTTCTGTTTAGGGTAGTTTAATTCAAACGTAAAACTAATATTTCAATCCTAATTGCAGTGAAGCAACTAAATTTAAATGGATATGGAAATACTGTAGAATTACTTTTTAAACTATCACATAAATTATTTAATTATTTGAAAATTCCTAATTGCAGCAATGACTTCATTAATCGTGTTATAAAATCATATACGGGTGGCATTAAATATCCTTTTGTAGTTAATGAAATATGAAAATGAAATTTAGAATGAAATATTGGAAATGAAGAAACAAGATACATTATAGCTACACAAAACTATAGATGCCCTTTCAAATTTTAAACATTACAAAATAGCAGAGCTCAAATTTATTACTAAATAATTAGAAGTAATCAAAATATTTAATGCAAATATATTGTTTTATAGCGATTAACGTGTACTGAGGGTTATGTATTGAACAAGAGATACACATGCTCATGACATCGCTACTATAAAATATCTCCAAAGCTGCTTAATACGTGAATCCTTTTGTTTGTCTATCTACAGGGTAGGGCCTTGAAAGGAAGTAAAATTATATCGGTGCTGCATTCCGTGGTGCTGTGATATCCTATTTCACCAGTTACTTTTCATAATTGCAATTAAATGTTATTTGGCTAACTTCCATAAAGGTATTGTTGCGTTATTTTCTGACACCAGTTGTTACGTTATTTTCGTCCTTCACGTTCGTACGAGGTTCGTGTGGATTTGGAGTGAATAACGACGACAGCACTTGATGGAGTATCGAAACATACTTTATTTATCAATATTAATCAGGACAGCTCCAAAACACTTTTACAGTCGTCGAAGATCTGCTATAAACACGCTGTAACAATCAGCGACACAGCCTTCACATGATCAGGCAATAACGGTGGAGACAGCTTCACTGCAAAGCACCAGAGTACAGCTCCCGACTCTGCTCGGTCGTTCTCGGAACTCCACGTACTCTCGAGTCTCTCCGCGCTACAACTCGCGATGCACTCGACCACACGCAGAGCACAGCACCTGACTCTTCGGTTCATTTGCTCCCGGAGCTCAACACGCTCTCTCGACGATGCACTAACCACGACACACTACGAGACTTTTTCGGTGCACTCGACGGCCCACTCAGCACTCGCTGCCCGGCTGTCAACTCGATCGACTCCTCACGTACTGACTAACTCGAGACACACTATTTCTCATTCTGACTCTCCGCGTACCAGCAGGGTTTGTATAGTTTTTGGCTTGTGTTCGAGGACATTCTGGGCTAAACCGGTAAGAATTCGTTCCAGAAGGTTCTCCATTCGTCCATTGCATATTGCCAATTTTGTTTCGCCAAATGTCGCCAAATGAGCAATTTCTTACCAAATGTGGCAACTCTGTCTTCCCTTGAAGTTCATGGCAACCCTAAAACTGCTTTGCGGGGAAGCCATCTTACTGCGCCTGTACATTTTGTAACAATATCATCCCGCGACAATGTACATTCTTATACATGCAAGGTCGTAAATTGCCTTTAAATGGAAAATTTCTAATCGCGTCAATTCTTTCATCCTTGGATCTTTCGCTGGAAAGATCTCTGAAAGGCAGACCACACCAATAAGTTGAAGAGTATTTCTGTCAAATCTTTTTATGATGCAATTAACGCTTGTCTGTCAGATGGGTATTTTTATCTAGATCCTTCGTTTCGAATGCTGCAAGTGCTTGTTTGCTACCAGATGTCGCTATTAGTGGAAACAAGTTTTTCGAACTTCATGTGTTCAATAATCGACAGACATTGTTTAACCTATAAGGTATTTCTCCCATCTTCTTAGCGACCCTTCGTGGTGTAGCGGTCTGCACGCTCAGCGCGTAATTGAGAGGTCCGCGGTTCGATTCCCGGTGAGGGCGTTGCATATTTTTCATCTTGTCTGCTTTCAAAAAAATACCTAATGTCTCTACAAACCAAGTAATTTCTCCATCTTACATATTCAGAATGCTGTACGCATGCGAAATATGCAGTTTTGGTTTTAAGCATAATAACACTTTAAAGTTGACATTACGGTAACTATAGTAATAGATGAACCCAAGATCTTCAAGACGCAATAAAGCAAAGGAAGTACGGTTAAAAATGTTATTGTCTTCCCCACCCAAACATCCAAAGTCGTGGATTTCTTCTACAAGCTCAAACTACTAATGTAGAATGCGAGATTTTTTAAAACATTCTAAAGTGTTTAAAGTGTTTTCTAAAGTTTTAAAACATTCTAAAGTGTCTAAGAGAGAAAATTCGTCTCAAGTGGCTTGAGCAGTGATAAGAAGACAATTCAGTGCTCCATTACAATAGCTTATCCGCTCTTGCAGTGTGGCCCACCAGCGACCGAATGATAAAGCCGCTGAACACTGGTAGTATGGTCCGGGCTTCGACTCCCGACGAATGGGCAGGCTGCATGGGCGTTTTCGTCGTTTTCCCCATGTGTAACCTGTACACGAGTCAGTTTCCCTAAGAAAGTCCTCCACGAAGGCATCTTTACCCTTAAGCAGATTGCCCTCGAGTAATTTGCAGTAATTATATAAATAAACCAGATCGCTCAGACAGCATTCAAAATACGTTAGTTATTAGGCTACATTTGTGAAATCATTGAATCTTAGCTTCTTTCTTCTCCAGGTCTGGCCTAGCATACTCTACGTCATTTCTCTTTCCCGAATTGAAATTCAAAGTGAACGATTGGTATTTTGGTACTGTGGAAGAAATTGAGCTAAAATCGCAGATATTGTACTATATACTGGAATCACGAGACTTCTAGGCAGCTTGAACAAGGACAGAAGCGTTGGCAACAATATTTTCAGCCCAAAAAAGGAGCTATTTCGAAGATAAAGCATGGCCAGTTTAATAACAAACGAAATTTAATAATATACGAATAAAAGAAATTTATCTTTTATTATTTAATGCGGTCTGGGAACTTTTTGATTTTTTTTCTTCGCTTTGTTAGGTTTTACTGTATAGCATTTTTGCAAGTTATTAATACAGTATACATTTTAAGCTTTGGTTAAACCTTAATGTATATAATAAATTCAATGGATATCTCCTGTTATGTAACTCATTTTCTTTTTCTCAAGGTCTCATCTGTGTACAATATAGTCCACAAAGTCATGAGCAATAGTTCTGTGAAAGATTACGTACCGTATTCATGGATCAGCCTCCTCTTGGTCAAATCTGAACATTATAAAGCTTTGGCTCATTATTATGCTGCTGTTGGCTTGCTAGAACATAATGGTAGGTGTATTTTTAAAACTTCTATAAATATAGAAAAACTTGCTCTTTCAGAATTAAAATTAAATTATTTGTAATCAAATTGGCGATCAAATGTAAAACGTTCCTCTTATAATTGATTGGCGGTAGCTATCTTAATTTACAGGCAATTTTCAATCTGTGAGCTATTTGACATTTAGCTGAGCACGATATCTTCAGTTCCCCATTCTTTTCATAATCGAACAGTTTATCTTAATATAACATTTAGCTTGCGAATGGGTAATATCAAAGCCAGGACATGGGTAAGGCACCTGGCACTTGCCTCAGGTGAATCACTAGAAAGGGCGCCAAACTGGCCATACGAATTCGAAAATTAATTAAGTTTTTAAATTTGTTAGTTACTCTTAGCGGAAATAAGCTTCCGTAAACTTAAATTAATAAAACAATAGGAAGAATTGCAAGAAAATCTGGATATTAATGCAATGTGCATTTCGATGTTATTTCTTATTTATCAAAAAGAATTTTTTAACATTTTCATTTGAAAGTTATAAATAATTAGCTATAATTTTTTTCTGAATTTATAAAGCTACGATTAAAAAATACCTTAAGAATTATGGTATAAAAATTATGATATTTTGAGTTAATACATTTACGTTTGTTTAATACAAATATAGCTATTTTGATATATATACATGTCGTTGCGGAATGTACATATATATAATATATATATATAATTGTACATTCCGCAACGACAATTAACCAGAAATTAATTAATTTCCTTTCACTAGTCAGTATAATTTCAAAATTTTAACAGACGCATTTACACTCGCAAAAGGGCTCTGCAACCACTTTCCTCCCATATTCCTTCCCATATTTTCAAAGGTTAACCGACTGTAATAATTCAAAGGGTCCCCACTGCTGCTCCACATCTCGGATTGCATACCACACTCCTTCTAAGTAAGAAAACAGACGCGAACATTTCACCGTTCTCCCATTAGAAGTTAATTAATTCATATTCTGGCCTTTTATGTATATTACATACATTTCTTTGTACCTTATTTTATAAATATCTTTCAGTTTTTTAACTTATATTTCATTAATTTTGCAAAGATTGTATTGTTTGTTATGCTTATTATGTTTATAACGATTACTTTCAATTCTATTTCATAAATATGGCAAAGATTAAATTCTGTTTATACTGTTTATAAAAGCAGCTTTGAATCGAAATGCATGAAAGCGAGGGTGTCGGGGGACACTTTTCTCAAGTAAATGATAAAAACTTTTACCACCACTTTATCCAGCAGAGAAATTTATTTACTCCTACTCAGTTTGGCAGTAATATCTCGAGATTTCTAAGAACGTTCAGTAACTTAACGGAACTGCTACATTCAAAATGAATTTTTTATAGTACTTAACTTTAATTCATCTCACTCTGATGTCACTAATTGGATTGAAACTCGACTTACAAGTTTGGCTTTAACTCAAATCGCCAGTTTGGCATTATACTTCTTACTTGAGTAAAAAGACGAAGCACCTTCGCATTTATTAACCACTTGCGCTACGACTAAACTTCACGGTTGCGGTGCGCTACAATATAACAAGCGGTAAAGTGTCTCATTTACGCCGCTCCGCGTCTGCGAGTGCAGTCTAGAGCTGTAACTCGAGAAATAAACAATCTCGTTGTTAGGCGACGTGTGGACCACGTTATTTTCATTTTTTTCGATAAATGCCTATCGACGTGGTGTTCACGTCGCTCGCGGTTTGAGACAAAAGCATCTCGACGTGCGTGGCACGTCTTTTTAGCGCAAGTGGTTAATTGTTGTTAATTGAACTTGAGTTGGTTTGTTCCCCTTGAAAACCGATTTCCGATCAATGACAATAATTACTTGGTTTATTAATTTTCATTTTAAAAGTTTCCATTTCTATTTTTCATGATTTGAATTCAGGTTCCTTTAAAAATATTATCTCCAGGATTAAATTTCAATGCTTCTGGGGTACATATATAGGGGCGCGCATTTACCTTTTTGCCTCAGATGAAAAAATATCTTGGCACAGCTCTGCTTAATATCATAAAACTGTTAACAGTTTCAAACAAATGTCTATGGATACATTTTACAGATTGAAATCTCTTTAATGCAAATCTGTTCTAATTTAAAATTATCTTGTAAAATCAAATTCCGAAGTAAAGGACACTTGCAACTTAATGCAGTCGTTTGAAGTTGCGAAAATAGACGGAACTTGTCCGACCGGCGCCGCCAACCTGCACACATTTTACACGTTGGTTCTTTGTTAAGCCACTTGGCGTGCCTGCACCCTTATGAAGTTCATTTCATACCACATAGAAAGCAGCATTCATCAAGGTGGCGGGATGTTCATGTGAAGATCTAAGTAAATAGTCGCCGACTCGAATAAAAGTGCCAGCACCTGTTTGAAAGTTAACAATTGTTTTAAGAAAAAACAAGATGTACCCGCCTTATGAAGTTCAATTTATGCCACGAAGAATACAACTTCCATCAAGGTGTCAGGATGTCTATGTGAAGATCTAAATAAATAGTTGTTGACTTGTTGTGATTTATGAATCTTCGACAAGTTACGACAACAAGGTTAAGACAATGAGTTTAATACGTTTACCTTTAGTTTATCTTTTAAATGTCAGTTTTATCTGTCGATATCAGGAGAGAAGGCGTACTCGGGAAGATTCCTGAATTCTATATAATCCCATCTGTCCCTGTAAAAAATCCATCTGCCATTTAGCAGTCTCATCACCGAGAATGTCGCTAGCTGTGATGCAAGGAGCATCAGAAGAGGTGATCGTGCTATACCTGCGAGAAAGAAGTTCGGTTTAGTTTTGATGGAGGACATCTTGAAAACGGATCCGTAGATCATCCTATTTCCTTACCACAATATTCTCGAGAACTTTCGGCTCTACAGTATTTTAAGTGACTCATACCTCAAAGACCCTATACACATTTAATAAACATTTATCCCTTCTCCGCGATTCGAACCCGAGGCTATGGTATCCGACTGTACTTCCAAATAGGACGGCATTTATAGAACCATGAAGGAAAACACTTTGATTATTTATATTATTTTAATTTATTTCTGTTGTAATTTTTCTTTGCTTTTATTATAAACTTGATAAAAAAAAATTTTATTTTTATTTATTTATTTATTATTTTTTTTTAAATTTTATCATTTTAAAGAAGTGTCTGTTGTTTCTTTTTCTAAGAGTCATAAATTTTCTATAGAAATCTTTTGTTTATTTTTCTAGGTGAAATCAATAAAGAAACCGAAGCTTACTTAGAATTCGTACACGATATTAATGCTAATAATAGCTCCACATACATTGAGATCAAAGTGCCCAAAAATGCCGAAGAAAGGCGACAACTTGGTAAGATCATTTTACAAATCGTTTAATAAAATTAAATATTCATACGAAAAGGACTTATTAATCTAGCGCAATATTATGAAAAATAAAATATATCTAATAAAAATAGCAATTTGAGTCTTTGGTTCCTTATGAGTTTTTAATGGTAATTTCAGCTAAGACATAATAAATGTTAAATAAAATAAATGCTTCAACTGATATGAAAAATATATAGCTATTAAAGCATTCCAGTAGCAAGTCAAGTTGATATTACAGATTTTTAATGTAGCTAATGCCAATTTAATATGTTAATATAATCATTAAAGTATTTCGATAGTTAGTTTATGTATTTTTACAGCTTTTGAAATAAATACATAAACACTGTATAATAAAAAGAACAAATATTAAAAATGCTAATAATTAGGAAAAGGTTCAGCATAACATGCGTAAATTTGCAGGATTGTAGTTTCAAAAAGCATATGAGCTTTCTTCTTCAGCAACAGGGGGGAAAATGACGAAAAAGAAGCATGTGTTCGTGTGATAACAGCAAACAAAAATTCTAGAAGTTTTCAGATTATGGAAGAGAAAAAAAATCTGATGTGGATATCATATGACTTCTTTGTACGTCCTATTAAATTATACAAATTTTTTGCTGCATATCATTGAAACATATTTCCCCGATATTTCTAATAAAAATCGAGGAAAATTTATATAAATTCAGTTTTCACTTCGCGGTAAAGCAAAAATATGGAAAACACAAAACATCTTCATTAAAAGTTGTAAAATGCAGAAAAACATAAAACCCCAAATAGAGTTAAAGCAGAAAAACCAAATAAAGCAGTTAAGAAACCAATTTTTATAATTAAAATTAGGATTTCTACGTAGGAACAAGAAATTTGGCGAGCAGGGAAGAAAGCAGATTTTTTGGGGCACAAAACTGAAAGTTTACTTTTGGCCCCACTCGGCAAAAAGACATTGAACGTTTAAAAACTGACTTAATTTACTATTCTACAGAGTTTCAAATGTAAATAAATGTGTTCGTTAGGCTTAAAATTTTAAATTGTTGATAATTTTACAACAGTTGCATGCAAATTAATTAAAGGCATAAAAGCCTTAACCGGAACATAACTGCATTTATATTTTAGTAACGATTGCTGCAGCCAATTGCAACAAAAAGGGAGGTGCACAACTGCATGGTATACCAGTCCCGTATACAAAATTTCAACGCTCTACGGCTATTCGTTCTAGAGTTATGCGAGATACCTACATACGTATATGCAGACGTCAAGAAAAAAATTCCATTTTAAATCCGTTTTACTATCCTTTTTGGCAAAAAAACAACCCTTTATTCTGTCCGTACATACAGATTTCACTCAAAAACATCGTTTAAATGGTTTCGAGAGCGGTTGAAATAGATATTTTCTTTGAAATTTGATACGCCCAAAGTAGAAAATTAGCATTCTGATAAAAAATTGAAAGCGAGAAAGACAGAAAAGCTATTAACATTAAATAACAGTGAAAATAAATGAATATTCTATAAAATATGTAATTTAAAACTATTATTATTTCTCCAGCTAGCTACAATTATCAATGTGAGTTAAACTGATAGGTAATAAGAAGTTTATTCATTTTTGCTTCCTTGTACGAAGTATTATAATCCCGAAAAATTCCGGGTACCATATTTCAACGAAAATATCCATTTTAACCGCCAGCGAATGCAACTAAACGATGTTTTTGCATGACACCTATATGTAAGGACAGAATAAAGAACTATTTCCCTCCAAAAAAAATTATAAAACTGATTTAAAATTCATTCAGAAGAGATTTTTTCGCGTGTCTGTACGTACGTATATATGAATGCATCTCGCATGACTCAAAAACGAGTAGCCTCAGAACGTTGAGATTTTGTATGTAGATCTGCACCTCTCTCTCTCTTTTTTTCCCCTCAATCCACTAAAAGTATATATATATATATATATATATATATTGAATTATGTTGTTCTTATCTTCCGGTTAAAGTTTTTATGCCTTGAAGTAACCTGCATGTTATTGTTGTAAAATTAACAACAATTTAAAACTTGTTTAAGTGCGGCTAAGCCTAATTTTTTTTTACCACAGCAATCATATTTGTTTACATTTGAAACTTAGCAGAGTAGTGGATTTGTTGCCAATATAAAGAAACTAACCTTCGTAACAACAAAGTAACGTCTTCTTTTAATATTGTGAATTAAATTATGCTTAATCTATTCTGGAATTATCATTTACGTTATTAAACTATCCCTTACTTGCACCCTTACGTTGAGGTAAAATACACCCTTACGGTGGTTTACGTATTTCACCAGAGAGTTTCCACAAAAATCGATTCCTGTATCATGAGATGTAAAATTTTCATTAACACGCTCAGATGGCAGGTTTCCAGATCAATTGAACATTTACGTTATTAAACTATCCTATATATTGACTCAGCAGTTCGTCCACAACAATTTGAGTCAGTTTCTACGCCTTCAGTGTCTTTTTGCCGAGTGAGACCAAAAGCAAACTTTCAGTTTTTTGCACCGAAAAAACTGCCTTTTTGCCCGCTGGCCGAATTGCTTCGTTTTGCGTAGAAACTGTCATTTGTCATTTTAATTGTAAAATATTTTTTAAATTGTTTTAACTATATTTGGCTTTTTTTATGTTTTTTTTTATGTCTTTCAATTTTTAATATACATATTTTGAGTTTTTATGTATTTTTGCCTTGTCGCGAAGTGAGAACTGAATTAATTGCATGAGAAATATATCTCTCATGAAATTCGAGGAAATAAGTTTAAATGAAATGCAGGAAAAAATGCGTTTAATTTAATATTCCGAACAAGGAAGTCATGTGGTGTACACATCAGATTTTTAAGGAGGCTAAAACATGCTATAATATGAAAGGATATCCAGATAACCATAACATTACAAAGTCTGCGCGTTAAAATTAAATGATGATTGTAACTATTCAAACTGATGTCATTATATAGTAGGAAAAATGGTATTTCCGAAAATAATTGGCAATTACTTGTGTATGCACGTGTTAAAATAATAAAATAGAATGTTCTTTTCTTAGTTATTATATTTCCTTTCCTACTTCCTCCTTGAAGATTTCAGCTGCCTGAAATATATAGTCATTGGTTTTAATAGCATTCATTGCATTATGGAGGAAGTGACGTTCAGAATGGGATCTTGCATAACATTTAGTAAATGCGTAAAATGTTGTAGTTCTATAAAGATTAATTAGAAAATGTGTAGTATATTTAGCTCACCGATAATATTATTAGTTTTTAATACTTGTTACAAAAAATACTTATTTGTTTCCTTGTATTTTTTTTATTGTTATAAAAATAGACATGTGAAAATAGACAGTTTCAGCGGGACGTGTTCCTTTTCACTTCCTTCCACGAAGTAAAGGAACTATTGTAATTACGGAAAATTTCGGGGATTATATTTCAGCGAATATATCCATTTTGACTGCTCTCGAATCTATTTGAACGATGTTTTTCATGGCATCTGTACGTACGAGCATAATAAAGGACTATTTTTGCCAAAACGAATTGTGAAATGGCTTTAAAACGGTTTCAGAAAACAGTTTTTCGTGATGTCTGTGCGTATCTACGTGCACCTACGTTTTGAGTATGCACCTCGCATAACTCAAAAACGAGTAGTCGTAGAACGTTGAAAATTTGTATATGGGAATGCTATAACATGCAGTTGTGCACCTCCCTTTTTCGCTGCAATATAAATATATATATTGACAGTAAATCAGTAAAAGTCGGAACGTAAATTAAATAAAAATTTGGTTCCAAAAATTGTAAAGGTATATAAGACAAAAAGTAAGAAATTTAGAACCAAATTCACAAGACACGAAAGAAATGAAATTCAAAACAATGAAATAAAAATCCAGAATTCCCTATAAATACGTGAACAATAATAACCAATTATGACCAAACCAGAAGAATTTCCGAAAAACTATAGATATATAAAATACAAAAATTATAATAAAACTAGGAAGAGGAATGCAATCAAAATCTGATTCAACGTTATCAAGAGGAGGTAGATCAGATTCAACTGAATCCTTCCCTCCACGTAGAAAAACCACTTCGCGTCTGTTCAAATATTACTTCTAAAATTCCACTTCGTTTCCAAAATTAGCTGAAGATCCATTCTAAATTATTTAATTATAACAGTTCACCCGAAAATTTTGAACTGCTCCTCGATGCAGAGGAAATCTGGAAATGAAATAAAAATATTCAAAAACATATCTATATGTAATAAACTCAGTGCCCAATAAAGTAAAAGTGTTACATTTGCAACTCTTAGTAGCACAGTGAATTAAGCCAGTTGCTGCACCGACTTCAGTGTTTTTTTGCGCTGTGAAATCAAAAGTTAACTTTCAGTTTCATGCACCGAAAATTTTGTCTTCCTACTCGGTGGCCGAATTGCTTGTTTTTGCATAGAAACTAATTTTAATAGTAAAAAGTTTTTAAACTGTATTTGATATTTTAGGTTTTCCTGTATTTTACCATTTTTAATTAGGATTGAGTGTTTATGTATTTTTGCGTTGCCACAAAGTGAAAACTGAATTGATTGAATGAGAAATACACCTCTTATGAAATTCGAGGAAATAAAGTGCAGCAAAAAATGTGTATAATTTCATAGGCCGTACAAGGAAGATATGTGGTTTCCACATCAGATAGTTTTATTAATTATAGTAATTTTTGTAATGGTTATGTAAAGCAAGATAGATGTCTTCAAGTAATCTACTAAACAGTCCGATCTTAAGTCTAGGAAAATTCCTGGACAAAATTCTTGAATTTTTCCATGATATCCTTTCTGAAACAATAAATGTTTTATTTTGGCCACTAAGACAAGAATTAACGCTCTTTCTGTTAAAATTCAATATGCTAAGCGTGCCTTCTTAGAAGAAAAAGAATATAATGTCAGGTGTTCTGCAACTAAAGCTGTAATTCGCATATAACCAAGAGGGCTTTAGATCGCATGGACACACAGTTTATGAGCACGTTCCCATTGTCAGTTAAATATCGCGTATTGAGATATGTAGTTTAATGAATAAATATCTCGTACTGAGAAGTTGTAGTAATTGAAGAGCTATTACATAAACCCTCTGTAAGGAAATTAAAGCTGATGTTCCTATTTCTGGAGACGATAGAGTAGACATCCTGGCTGTTCAAATCGTTGGAGATAGCATTCATTTGAACTCTATGTACCAAGTGAAATATTGGAAATAATACAGCACCTGTTGTTGAAGAAAGCAAACCTCAACATAATCACACTAAACACCGGGGCCCTCACTTTAAGAGGAATTTACATAGGTGACCTATAGAAATCAGATTTAACTTAAGAAGGATATAAAAGTATTTTGTACGAGAACATGTGTCAAATCATAATTACATATCGAATGTTTACTGTGAAGACATGAACGTAAGATCTCTCTAGTTGCTTAAATTGCGGGCTTTTTCATTTTGTTGAAACCTCTTAAGATTATTGTTTAATTCTATATTGGAAAGAAGTTTTTTGCTGATAACATCGCTGTGGCCTTAAACTAAGTCAAACAACAAAAATCAGCGTTATATTTTCAAATTTTCACAGGACTGGTTTCGATGGTTTGGTTTTACCGAACCATCACCCTCAGCTGCAAAAGCGCAAATGAATGACTAGTTTAACTTTCTCACTTTTTCCTGTTAGCTGAAGACACAGTAAGAAAGTTACTGTCCATGCTGAAGGAATATTTAAAGAATTATAGACATTCCAGTTTCATTCGCTGCCGCATTCAAAAATGCAAAGACTGCAAAATTGAGGAAGATGATTGAAGGTTTCCCAAGAAAATGTGCCTCCAAGAGAAGATGGACACTTTCAGTATTTAACTTAAGAATAATCATCGCTCCAATTTAGACATTTATTTTTTACAGATAAATTTTTAAATCGAACCAATGCGAATATTTAATGCAAAAAAACAAATATTTAAATAAAAATAATGTTCATGAGACAATTTACGCAAAAAATAATTTTCTTTATTTACTCATTGCTCATTTTTTGGTAGCTAAGTTCATATAAAGTCGTGCAGTTTTTACTCATAGTTTTCGTAGAGTCGCACCATATTAGGATACATAAACCCCTTTGAGACTCACTCTGAACGTAAGTGACTTATCGCTGCGTCCAATAAGGAGACAGAAAACATAGTGTTGCCATTGCTTGCTTTTAAATCGTTGAATTCGTCAATCAAAAATTCGTCAAAGTTTTACAAAATGTGAAATCGATAATAAAACAAATTCCAAAGGTGTAAAAGACCCTTTTATTAATCTCCAATAATTTAAAAGAAGATATTTCTTACGTTTACAAAACCAGCCAGTATTTATGGCGTAACTCAAAAGTAAGGAATTCAGATTTAAACTGTTAGCCAAAGGCTACACATGATGAATAACGCGCAAGCTAATAATAACAGGCTGCTAATTGGAGATATTCAAATAGTAATGTGGTTTTCAGAGGGCGTAACACACTCTAATTCAACAATCTTAAACCTTTCTTTAAATATTATCTTTCTCTTTCTACCTCATTTGAATACGCGCAAACTAAAATTTCTATTCTGGCAAGAAACCGAAAAAGGAGGAAAAGAGTAAAGCTATTGAACATAAAATAACTGATTAGATAAAAATAAGTAAATACCTGCATTTTTTAGTTCAAAGGGGCTTTGTCCCTGAAGGATTATTGTTTTCGTTTTGCGATTTTGTATAGGAACCCTATAAACGGCGTCTCACTTTTCAAATCGTTGCCACCAAATACACTCACTTCCAAAAGTTAAGCACGGAGAGGAAAATGCTAATTTCCGGAAGCCAACCAGAATCGAAGAGGATGCAATTCGCTGCAGAGATAGGTGGAAGTATGCAGATATGTAAGGTAACAGCCAAATCGCGCTTTCATGTCAAGAAATATGCAAAAAAGGCAGTCTTATAAGAAGCCAGCTTTATGAAGGGTTACAGAAGTTGATTGTAAGTGAAGGTGTTTAAAACTTTCGTACAATTTGTTTTCAAGACATACGTGTTTCTATGACTTCCAGAAGACGAATGGAAGATTTTGAGCGCTGGCATGCTGAAGAGCACATTGAAGCAGGACGGTCGATCACAGATGTTTCTCTTTTCTTCGGCGTTCATCATTCTGTAATTTCATGTTTATGGAAACAATTACAAACCACACAGACAGTTGTTCGAAGACCCGTAGCCGGTCGCCCAAGGGTTACAACCCCCGCGGAAGATCGATATATTGCTATTGTAGCCAAGCTGAATCGCAGAGCGACCTCCACACGTGTGACATCTATGGTAACAGCGTTCATTGGTAAGGCGATATCTGCAGATACTGTACGCCGAAGATTACATATGAGTAGACTGTACGCCCGGGTACCTCGAGTTTGTGTTTCCCTATTCGTCCAATCAAGAGGGGCACGATTATAGTGGCGCCGGGAACATGTCAATTGGAATGTGTCTGACTGGGGCAATGTCATGTTTACTGATGAGTCAAGATTTGCTCTGGAGCCAGATGACAAGCATTATAAGCATATGGCGTGAACAACAAACATGCAATCAGTCCCAAAACATCACCGAACATCACGCATTCCGAGACGGAAGCATTATGGTGTGGGCAGGGATTTCATTAGGATACCGCACTGACCTGCACATCATTAAACGGGGTTCTTTCATGGCTGTCCGGTATCGAGATGAAGTCCTAGAACCCATTGTGAGATTGTACGCTGCAGCAGTTGGGCCTACTTTTGTTTTAATGGACGATAACGCACGTCCCCATAGAGCTCACATCGTCGATGACTACCCGGAGAGTGAAGGGATTGCGCGTATGGCGTGGCCAGCATATTCGCCCGACCTTAATCCCATTGAAAATTTATGGAATGCTCAAGGCCGTTATGTATCTTCACGTTTCCCACCTCCAGCCATTCTTATTGAGCTGGAAACTGCTCTATAAGAAGAATGGCGATTGCTTAATTCTGCGGTGGTTGACCATCTAATTGAAAGCATGGTCACAAGGTGTAAACTTTGTATACACTTGAAGAAGGCTCACATACCCTATTAATGTCCTTTTTTTCATTTTGTGCTGTTTATTTTCACTTTATACATAATTCTGTATAAGTCTCCAGTATGTCATTATCTGATAACTTACAAAAAATTAATATTGTTTTCATTTCTGTATATAATTATTGATTTTGTTTTATGCATAAATATATATGCTACTTTCCTGCCGAATTCTGTGTCAATCAAAGCAGTATTTGTTGATTTTTTTGCATTTTACATCTTCGTGCTTAACTTTTGGAAGTGAGTGTACTATAGCCCTGTATTATATTTGAAGAAATTAAGTAATGAAGAATCTGCGTAAATGTATGTATGTTTCTCGCACTGTGATAAAAAAACCGTACCTACAGCCATCCAATTTGGAATGACGTAATCTTTTTGCGAATATAGGCATCTGAAAGCCGAAATTTGGAATTTGTTTTAACAACGATTTCATATTTTGTAAAACTTTAACGAACTTTTGATTAACGAACTCAACGATTTACAAGAGAGCAATGGCAATACTCTACGGGGAAGAAAACCTTTTTACCTTCTGCGCGCGGAACTGTGTATCGGAAATTCTAAAGATATGCTCATTTTAAAATTATTTTGCGACATTGCTGTTGAACTGAATTTTATGGTTTAAGTGCAAAGAACATGATAATTAATAAATAAAGGTAACACACAAAACGTTAAAAAAACGCCCCTTTGGACGTAATTTAAAATCTGAAACCTTTCAGATTTTTTTAAGGTACTTTTGTTATTTAACATTATGTTTTCTTATAAATGAAACTTTTTTTTTCTCCCGAAAATACGTCTAGGCAAAGCTCATTTGCGTGAGTCATTGCTGCTACACGAAGAAGCTCTGCGATTGCATCGGATGTGCCGGCAACTGCGACAGATCGACAACCTTCAGGAGCGTCTACGGACAGCACACGACGCTTCTCTGGACAGGTATGCCAGATATGAACAAGAGGACGACTTTCAGGAAATTCTCGATGCCCCTCCCATACAGGGTGAGACATTGATGCTGTTGAGATTTTTTCAACATTACATTTTTGTTTAAGATGCATTAACTGTAAATTTTAACACCACGAAAACTACCTCGAAATACTGTATTTGCCGGAGCATAAGACGACCTCCATTTCTGAAGCTATTTTCAAGAAAATTAAATACCATACTCACACGCGTATTTTCTTCCTTTGCTATTTTTTCCCTTTAGTTTTACCTCAAGTCGCTGAAAAATTTTAAATATTCATGTAATTTTTTTCCATTCTTAAAGACGTTCGGGACCGAAATCTGTCTTAAATTTTTAAATGGATATTTGTTCACGTAATGATTGTTTTCGTCTTACGAAATATTTTTTTTTTCCAATTGCAGATTGTGTTACAGTTTGTAACAGAGTCCATTAATCTATGCTGAGGCCAGATGTGGTGAGATTATTGAGGCACTTAATAGATGGGACACCATTGCCTCCTATGAAGGGATGGACAGTTACAACCATGCCTTGAAATCCGGATTCCGGGATTCGAACCCAGGCCCTTCGGTATCGCAGTCAGGCTTCCCTAACTACTATACCGTCTGGGCAGCTCTTACGAAATAATTTGCTCGTGGAATTTGGATGCGTGCGCTCTGACTGGTAAAACAATAATAGTGAAGAATTTCAAGAAAACGATGATAGCGAATGTATTTCTGATAGTTCTGAATATCATTGCACTTGAAATGACAGCCTGAGCAGTGATAAAGCCGATGAAAACGATCGCGATGGCAAAGACTTGCAAGCTGTAGCAGACTACTTGGTGTATACCGAAAACATCTGGAAATACATCGCGGAGAAAATAAAGCAAGGCGAAAACGTGGTCGTATAAAAACATCGAGAGGAAAAGGAAAGCAAAGAGAAAACATCGCGGTACAAAACACCGTCATCTAAAAATGAAACGGTTAAAAAATATGGCAGTATCAAAACATCGTCATAAAATATATTGCACAAAATAAAGCACCTACAAATCATCATATGACGATAACATCGCAGACATGTTTTTACAGGCTTTAAAAATTCGTATATTAGCATAATGATTTGTGAGCGCAAGAAGGAAAATAAGAAATATATTTACTTTTATATTTCATATTTTTGAATTAACTAAAAAATTTTTGATGAAGGAAAAAGATGAAAATTTAAGCATTCAAATGCTCAAAATGAATAGAAAAATAATGGTAGGTATAGCAGTTAACAGAATTTCAAATATACATAGTTAACTAATAATGGTCATTAATTAATTAATATCTTTCATAAAGTTTTATTGGTAGTTTTCCTCGAAAAGTATAGTCTGTAAAAAGATTAGAAAGAGAAAGATGAGTAACTACATGTGGTTATTCTCTATTAAAATTATTTAACTATTTATCAAATTTTTAAATCCTGTTAGCTGCGCTAAGTAGCCTTAATTTTCTACTTATTTTCAGTTTTTGAATGCTATTTTCAGTTTAAGTTCCATTTTAATTTTTCAGCGAAAATTTATCAGTTAATTCAAAATATAAAAGTAAAAGTTTTCCTTATGCCTTTTTGTGCTCAGAACTCATTTGAAAAACTCATGTAAGCAATGTTATCATGACAATTTTTAAAAGTGCGATGTTTTTGAACTGCTTTATTTTTAAAGCAGTTTACCACGATGTTTTAGAATTCCCATGTTTTCTCCTTGCTTTCTTTTCTCCCACAATGTCTTTTACGACGATGTTTTCGCCTTGCATTGTTTTCTTCACGAGACGTTTTCGTCCGCGATGTATTCGCCTGTAGTCCCGCATCGTTAGATTAGCAATGGTTTAACGGTGGACATTGTTGTCCATAACAACAAGAACAGGTGAAATTCAAGATACAAGGTAGACCTGCAGGTAGTATTAGATCAGATAGTGTAATGTAAATATTACTATGCATTCTTGTTAAAATGTAGGTTTATTTTAATTAAATAATAATATGATATTTACCGGAAGTTTATTCATGAATATTTCTTATTTATTTTGTCTTCACTGTAACCGCGTCCTTTGGAAATGAAATTAAGATAAAATTAGTGAGAAAAGGGGGGTATTGGTGTAAGTACGGCAATTTGCTTTTAAAACTGCTTTACATATATGAACTTGTTATATAGAAAATATTTAATACTTTTGTTAAGTATCTTTCATCTGTCACAAACTGAATTCTTATTTTTCTCATCAGTTTTTTTCCCCCCTTAAATTTGAATGTTATTGTTTTTTCTGAGAGAAAAGTTCAAAAATCCAGATTATCCCAATCCTTGATTGCTACTTTATTTGTTTGATCTTTTGTAGTTTATATCCATCTTCTTAGATTTTCAGGTAATTTAAATAAAATATAACAGGAACTCTACATAAAAATAACCACTGAGGAAGAGAAAAAGGAATTTTGGCAAAACGAACTGACTGAATTAAATGTTTTATGAGTTTCTTCATCAGAAATCTCCCTAAACGTTTCTTTTCAAAACAATAATAACGAAATATGAAAAAATAATTCCAGTTTTAAGAAGAGCATTGCCTTTAAGGCTAATTTTGAATAAGGAGAACAAAAGGATTATATCTGTTGTAGGCAAATTATGAAATCTGGCATTCTATAGAATACCTAGGCACTCTACAGAATGCGGAAAACTGTCTGGCAGTGTATGAAACGATTAAACATTTCACACGTTATCTAGGCATTCTGTAGAATGCCAAATGACAAACCGGCGAAGTATGAAATACACCTGCGATTTTCGTTTCAAATAACGAAATTATTTACCAGAAGTTAATGAAAAAAAGTCAAAGTGATTAGTAAGAAGAAATCACAGGACTATTGGTTGCTAAAACTCTGTGACGTGATGTTTGTGGAAAATAAAAGTAAACTCATTTATCCTGTTAAAGAAGGCGTCAGTGTTGCGTCACCGATATCACGGACGGAGTTATTTTACTACCTCATGAAACTAATATGGCTATTGGACATGAAAGACTGACAAAATGTTGAAAGAATTTTCAAGCGCAAAAACGTTGCGCGCAATTATATTGAACTGGACATCTTTGTCGGCCATGCTAAAAAAAACAAAACAAATATGCTAAAAAGAAAATAGTTGTGAAACCGCAGGACACATTTTTTTCCTGAACTTAATTCACGTTGCCAGATAGATCTTATTGATTTTCATTCTGAGTCAGATGAAGAATATAAATTTATTATGGTATACCGAGATCACCTCACTAATATTTTTACGCGTTTTGAATAAAAGCATTTTAACGGCAGTCTTTCATTAGTTTTTTTCAAAATAAAATTTGTATTTTTTGAAAAATGAACGTCTTTTGAATAACAGCCTTATCATGACTTTTTTCTTTGATACTTTGCCTAAAGAGCTTTTAGCATTCTATAGATTTCCTAGGTATTATATACAATGTCTAGGTAAAGTATATAATAATTCTCATATTTCATACTTTGCCTAAAAATGTCATGCATTCTACAAAATGCCTTGGTATTTTATAGAATGAAGGCGTTTCATACATAGCCGGTAACATATCCGTTAAATTCATGATTTCGGGTGGGAAAAATCTTGCGTAGATAAGGGAAAAAATGTGCTTAAGATGTTTATATTTTGATAATCATGGCTTTAATGCTTCAGTTTTGATTGGCCTTTGTTTAATTTTCTTTTATTGTTATTATTTCTTGGTTTCTTTCTTTTCGATATCTTTAATCGAAATGATGGAAGAAACAACAGCCGTTGACTTAAAAAGGATGTTTTAAAATTATTATTTGTTTCGAATTATTGCATTTGTTTACATCTTTGCAGCTGCTACGAAATATCAGTTGACTCTAATGACACCTGAATTCTGCGAACACAATGTAAAAGATCTTTTCCGAGATTTGGTAAGTAATTTATCTCTGGATATTATTGAAATTTATTTTTTAATATGTAGTTAGTTCATCATTACGAAATATCTATATTTCTATAGTTTAGGATGACTTTTTTAAGGAATGGATGGTTCAGTTTTTAATGCTTTGGAAGAGATTAAAAATTATTTAATGATTTTTTTCCCAGCTTGAGGAAAATCCATGTACATTTCATTGAATATAACGTTACCGATCCGATTTCAAAATACAATATTTTTTAGGATTCTTTAGTGGCATAATAACGGTATGAATTTTGTACATGTGAATACTTTTTAGTAAAACTGCATGTAAAACTTTTTTTTTTTTTTTTTTAATGTAACATGAAAATCTGAAGAGACTAAGCTTTGCAGGAAACGTAACAATACAGGGGCAAGTCTATTTAACATTTAACATTGAATAAATGGTTATCTCGCTAAAATGGCGAAACCGCCAAACGTTGCCAAAATCGACGACCATTTGGCGGCATTTTGGTCCGGTCCCTGCATAACTGTAATGGCTGTTGTAATTGAATAAATGTAATTGATCACTATATGAAACCGTATCCAGCCCTTAGTTGTAACTTTAGCCATATATGTCTTCTAATGGTAAAAGTTTACAGTTGGGTGCCTCTTGTTTCTTGGCGATTCTTTTTTGACGCCAAGATCGGCGCCAGGAAGGCACAATTTTAAGATGGCCGCTACACAAAACCAAAATAAGAAGTCAAAGAACTGCGCAAACTCTGTGTCCGTGTATTACACATTAATCTATTTTCATTTAAATAAAATCAGGAAGCTAAAGCAAAGTTAAAACTATCATGGTAACCATTCATCGCCAAAATTTAAAAAAAAATTGTCGCTAAGCGAAGGGGCACCCAATTCTACACTAGAGCCCTTCCAGTCATTTCGAGAAATGATATTTACTAGAGATTTCTCGTCGACCGGGTGAAAACTATATATCACCGGAGAGAGTATCTGCTCTCAATTGTTAGTTCAGAGCTGAATTCGGAGTTTTGAGATATACGTGTTTGAGATACCATCTTTAAATGCGCTTTGGACTGCGTTCTGTTTAGTGTTTTAGTAGTCTGAAGTGTAATTACTGATTCTACTGTGTGATACCGAGAAGAGCTGTACGCGTACTTTTGTGGAAAGAATTGTGAAGTCCTCCTTTTGGTAGAATAAATGTTACCAAGCTATCTCAATTCTATGCGCATTCAGTCTATTACGAACCAGTATGCACGCAACAATATTACAGTACAACTCCAATTATCCGAACTTCGACTATCCGAATGGCTTTCAGAATTTTTCAGAATCTACTGAAGAAGAGAAGGAAAAGGAGGAGAAAAAAAGAAAAGAAGCTCAAGGAAAGGAAAGGGAAGAGACAGGAGAAGATGAGGATGTCGTGTTACTTGAGGAATTAAGCAACATTCTTCTGAAAATTCCTCGGTGTTCAGAAGTGAGTGCTGAGGATACAGCAGAATGGATGGTGTATGATTCGTCAGACTCTGGGTTGGAAATTCTAAATGATGATTGAAAGTGTGAGATTACAAAGTGTCGAAGAGGAGGATGACTTTAATGTCGAAGTTGAAGCAAACACGGGAGCATCGGCTAGTGAAGGGTTTACCGGTCTTGAATCTGCGTTGAAGTGAATGGAGCGTCAGCCCGAGTGTAACCACATGCAACCTACCGTTGTTCAGCGGACGCGCGACTTGGCCACATTTAAACGGATAAGACAGTCAAACAGCTTACTTTGACCGAGATATTCAGCAAACAATAAGTACTGCACAGTACGCTATATACGTAAAGGTGTTGCCTTTTCATTTTAATCAATTAAAACCTCTTTTTCTTTAAAAAAATAGTTTTTTCTCCCGTTTTCAACATATAGTACATACAGTAATTAATTAAAGTGTACGTAGATCCTTCCTTCGGAAAAAAATCCACTTATCCGAATTTTTGATTATCCGAATGGGGTCCGGTCCCAGTTGATTCGGATAATTGGAGTTCTATTATATTATTAACAATGCCAGCTAAAATTTTAATAAAAAAATAAAACCGAAAAACAGTCCTTCTTCTGAATATATTAAAGTGAAAGAGTATCAGTTTAGTAACTCTCCGATTTTGTGCAAGCGTTACTTGACAGTAGCTAAAACCCTCAAATATTTTAGCTAATCAGTCTTCTGAGGAGGGAAGACATGTTTCAGCGTAAATCTTTGGCGAAGTATGTAAAACGAAGTTAGTATGTAGAGACATTAGGTTATTTGGAAGCAGGAGATATGAAAAATGAGCAATGGCCTCGCCGGGACTCGAACCATGGACCTCTCGAATACGCGTCGAATGTGCTGACCACTACACCACGAAGGCATGCTAATAAGGTGGGAAAAATACTTTATAAGTATAGAGCCAGAACTTCCTATGAAAGATGCATTTCAGATGAATTATTAAATTTAACGATATTTAGTTTCACAGAGTAGGTAAAAGAAGTTGTCAAATGAGTTCCGAATTTCGGCAATAAAAGAGAAATGGAAAACTGAACAAAAGGAATTCTCATGATTTTTTTTTTCTTTTTTTGTTCTAGTTTAAATTCTAATTGTGATGAAAAGTTATTTGAATTTTATTATTACAAAAACAATTTTTCTGAACTGTGACCTTTAGAAACGAAACGTTATAATTATATACGGAGTATATGTTAAAAAAAATTGGCTACATATTTTATGTCTAAATGTTTCTCATAGATTTATAGTATTTATCTTAAGGTTTAAAAAAATAAAATTTGGAATTTAACGAAAACAGCCTCAGAGGTATGGATTGGGAGGCAGGTAATTTTGAAAAACAAATTTAACTTTTTATACACTTCCTGAACTATAAAAAGTTCAGTCAGCAAAATATTAATTGCATTTTATTTAAAAAAAAAAAACAAAAAGTTACATACTTGTATGTGCAAGATTTGTGGAATTATTTGAATAAGCTTTTATTAATTTAGGTAACTTTTCTGCGCCTCTTACGGAATTTAGGAATTTCAGGAACAAATTTTAGGAGCTGAAACATACGTTACCAGACCTGCCAATTAATAATTAAGCGAAGCATCGTTCTTATATTAATCCTTTTATACACGAGGAACTTACTTGTTAGGCTAAACTCTGTGTATTTTGTATATTAAAGTTTCATTTTAGTTTCCTATTTAAGCTATTTAACTTTATTTTAAAGGGACCAACTACAAAGTTATTTTTTTAAGTGGTTCAAAGAATGAGACGGTTTTCGTAAAATGTTGCACCTTATTTTAAAAATATCTGATGTGGACACCACTCGACTTCCTTGTACGGCCTGTTAAATTATACACATTTTTGGATGCACTTCATTTAAACTTATTTTCTCAAACTTCATTACAGATATAGTTCTCATTCAATCATTTTAGTTCTTACTTCGCACAAGGCAAAAATACATAAAAGTCAAAATATCTTCATTAAAAGTTGTAAAATACGAAAAAAACCTAAAACACTAAATACAGTTAAAAACAGTTAAAGGAAAACAATTTACGCAATCAAAATTAGAGTTTCTACGCTAAACCGAGCAATTCGGTTAAATTAATTAAAATTACAAATTAGAATTTCTACATATTTTTATTTTTGAAATTGAGATTGATTTTTAAAAATTTAGCATATTTATCAAGCACGTTCCAAATAATTATAAAGCATAAATATATTATGCTTTCAGGACTGGATATTTTTTTAGCTTTTCCTATGCTGTAAGGAAATTTGTAACTGCTTTTAGAAAATAATATTTTAAATCTGAACTAATAGAAAATTTCAAACAAGCAATTTTTCTCTTGTAATTTTTATGCTTTTTATTGGTGTGAATAAGTAAAAAATACTAAAATATTTAAAAACCAATTTTTGAAAGTTTTATTTGAAATTCTAAATTGTGCTGCATTTTTAAAATTATAGATGAGTAAGCAGAATTTCTAGAAAGGAATTTTATTTCAATTATATTTCATAATACATCACAGTGATAAACAATTTTGACTCCTTAATTTTTATACATTTATATCTAATATTAAAATTGTATTTAACCGTAATAATTAATTTTGCTTGTAGTTTATAGTGATTATTTTTTAAATTTGCTTTTAGTTCTGCATAAGATTTTTTTTTTACTTACTGTTAATTTAATTTATTAGTTCGAAGCAGCATTTTGCGCTGTTTCACTATAAATGTCGTGTTTCCTTGCAAATTGCTGTTACCAAATATTATCGCTCTGTATTATATTTAAAGAAATTAACTAATGAAGAATCTGCATGAATACATGTATGTTTCTCGCACTGTGACAAAAACGACAGTACCTAAAGCCATCAAAATTTGAATATTGTAATCCTCCACCCAAACATGGGCATCTGGACGGCCGAATTTTCGAATTTGTTTATTTCATATTTTGTAAAACTTAACGAATTTTTGATTAACAGACTCGACGAGTTCAAAGCGAGCAATGGTAACACTGTACGGAAAATAACATTTTTATCTCCAGTGCGGAAATTCTAATGATATGCTGTTTTCAAATGTATGTGGTTTACGGGCGAAGAACATGATATTCAATAAATATAGGTAACATACAAAACGTTAAAAAAAGGTTCCTTTTGGGCGTAATATAAAATCTGAGTGCTTCTAGATTTCATTTTATCTTTTTTCCCCCTTCGTTACACTCAGAAAATTTTATGCTCCGAATCTTATAAATTACTAAAATAAATAATCCACTTTTAATGTTAATAATTTAATGATGATATAATCAAATAAGTATCGTTTTGTAATGTTATTATAGTTTTGAAAATCACTGCCTGAAAATGTTCATTAATTTAAAAAAAAATTACCAGATCTCTTGTTTAACTTTACCTTATTTATTTCAAAGCATCACGTACTATCAATCTTATTTAATTTTACTTTATTTTTTCGCAAAATTAAGTTCATAAATTTTGTGCTTAGAGTTTTTACCGTTTTGCCAAAGTAAAGGTGTTTGTACAAGAATTACGCGTGAAAACAATTGCGCGAAATGTAGTAAAAAGTGCTTTAATGAGATATATTAAATTCTATTTGAAAAAAACTGTGACTTTCATAATCTCATCATTATACAATGTATCGCATTTAAAAATTAAAAACAGTTATGTGATACAAACGCCATAGGTTTCAGTGTTAAAGTAAACCAGATCGTCCCTACTCTTTCTTGCGAACATGTCGGTGACTGGGTTAGTCTATCTCTTATAAGGTCCATGGGACATTATTGTTGATGTCATAGACAAGTAGTTTTCTTTCTGAAACAATCATTTATCTTTCGCATCACTGCCCATCCAAATGGTAATTCCACAGCAGTCAGCCCGTTTTCTATTTCTAAATTCTTCCGATTGTAGAGTTTTTAGCCTGCTACTAGTCATTCAAATTATACATAAGTTATTGGAATATATCTTCAAATTGTGGTGAAAGTTATTGCTGTTCATGAAAACTATAAATAATCGAACTTCCATTCCGAGATCTGTTGTTTGATGTGGTAAATTGCAACGGAAAAGGGAAGTGCACAACTGCATATTAAAGCAGTCCCATATACAAAATGGAATATATCTTATTGGAATATATCTTCAAATTGTGCTGAAAGTTATTGCTGTTCATGAAAACTATAAATAATCGAACTTCCATTCCGAGATCTGTTGTTTGATGTGGTAAATTGCAACGAAAAAGGGAAGTGCACAACTGCATATTAAAGCAGTCCCATATACAAAATGCACATGGCTTTACCTAATCCTTTAAGATGGGGATTGGTACGGACGGAAAGATTGCCATGGAATTTCTTTAACCTTACAAAGCACCTTCAAGATATTTTTCATTGTTTGGTTTTTGATGTGACTCATTTAAACCCGTGCTTGTGTAAGAAAAATTCTTCGATGAGGCGTGTTAGATCATCACTGAATGCCGATGTTTTATCTCTTCCGCCCCTTCCCCGATTTTTGTTTTGTTTGAGACTGGTCTTATATTTGCGTAATATTGCATACATTAATCGATAAATCTATAATTAGAGTACCCGAACCTAAATGTATAATAAGGTGTATTAATTTCTCATCAGGGATGTTTGCTGTTTCTCCATAATTAATCCATCGATACGAATAGCGAATAAAAACAAGGCAATAGTTTAATCTGTATAAATTGATATTGAAAACATTAATAGATGTAATAAGTTTATGTACTTGTTATTATAGGGTCCCTTGAAAGTATTCAATTCTCGGCGTCAGTGGACTGCTGCGAGATCAATACAGCTGAGCAAGGAGACAGACGGAAATTTTGGTTTCAGCGTCCGTGGAGATGCTCCTGTCATTGTAGCTGCAGTGGATGCGAGAAGTTTGGCTCAGGTGATGTGGTTACATTCTGAGTATCAGTTTGGCCTTTAACAAAAAAGTGATAAGAATGTTTCTCTCATAGTGTCAGTTTGGAATGGATATGGTGTTAATTTACATGTTAAGTAATGTTTCTTGAAAATGAATGCTGTGTTATAGTATATTTCATAAAACAACGAAATTAACTTTTAGCTTTTTACCTCAGTAAACTGCGAAATATCTAAAACGACTATTTCTTTCCAAAATATTGAGTTTAATTAACTCGAGTCGTTACACTTTTGCGATACGCAATTGTGTTTTCTAAATCACACGAATCTTTTCTCTAAAACATTTTTAACCTCAGCCATATACAGGGTGGTACCTATTACATCTACGAGCATTAAATAAAAAACAGAAAGTTTGTAATTGTTCGCAGTAACTCCATGGGTTGTGAAGAGTATATCCACAGGTAACTTAATGCAATATTTGATGCGGAGCAATAGAAACATTGAAAATATAACCAACTAAATTTCCTCCTCCTGGGTGAATGCATTGTCCGAAAATATATAGAAAAACCTCCATGAGGCGTCTTAACACGTGCGGTGGAATAGCTGATGATAATTTTCAGTTCCTCAGTCGTTCGCTAGTAATGTGCAAAAATTCTGTCATTCAAGTAATTCCAAAAGAAGTACTCTGGATATCAAAACACAACCAGAGGTAACCACTGACCTGACCTTCAGGGGGAAGGTCCTACAGTGTTTTATATCATAGCAGCAGACAATTTATAGGATCTAAGGATAAAATGCACGGTCATATAAGGCCTCATATTGATATAGACACAAGTAATATGAAATATTATTTATAGATAATGTTTGTACAAACAAAACATATACGTTCAGAGAGAGATGATGCATTGTTCAAAAGTTATTACCAGTAAACAATTGAGAATCAATGTTTTGTTTCTAAATTACGCAATATATTGTAATTTAACAAGTTATTCTAAAAACGAGACACGGTACAATCCGTTGAAACATGTTATACATTCCAACATTGCAACAAGCATTTTCTAACACAATGTAGGAAATAAATAATAAAAAAATGAATCTTTGAATGTATCAATATCCCTTCCTTAATAATCTGTGGATATATTCAAATATGGAGAGCTGAATGGCCGAGTCAAAGCGACAAATCAGATGATTTCGAATATATATCGGAGTGCACTAATGCTTGTACTTGCCGTTCTTCCGTCCCGTTGGAACTAAATTGTATTCATCAACTATCTTGCCCACAATTCTGGTGATTTTCATTGTTTTTTAACAGTACTTACTGATCGTCTATGACAGGACATAGTTATACCACGCGAGTAGTTGTGTATTCTGGCAGGGTTGTCAACTCAAATTAGTAGATACAATATGCACGCATCACCCTATACGAATACTAGCGGAAGTACCCAATGCTAGTTAAGTTAGATTAAGAGTAATGCATCTAACAACAAAGAGAATGATACAGCAGTAATCCTTCTCTAATAACGATGCACAAAATACGATTCCTAGTCATATATTTTTCAGTCTGATGTGATATGGAACCCACATAAAAAAATTTCGATAGAAAAATAAACTATTCTTTTTCATTATACCAGCAACAATGCCACGCAATTTTTAATGATTTTCGTCTTTCTAATCAAGTGGTCGTAAAAGCTCAAATTCCATCCAATATTTCACCTGTATTCAATTTTAGTCGATTAAATGTGACAAAAAAGATCATAACTCATCAAAAATCAATAACGCAAACAAACACACAAACAGACATTCTTTGTATATATAGATTTTGTAAAACTTAAAAAAGTTTAATTCAGAAACTCTACGATTTGAAAGCGAGCAGTAGCAACACTTTTCGAAATAAAGCCTTTTTATCTCCAACGAGCGAGACTGTTGCCGCTCAGAATAATGAGTGCGAAAGTTAACTTTTTCCGAGTTTTTAATGAATTCGGCTTATTACAGTCGTACTAAGATGGGAGTAGTCGAAATGGCTTCCCACGAATTTTTGGAATCGGGAAACATGTACTTAACGTTTCGCAATGCTGTTTCTATTTCATCGTGAAACTTAGAAATGTTTTATTAACAAATTCTAGGATTTGAAAACGAGCAGTGGCAACAACTTTCGAAATGAAGCAGATTTTCATCTCCAGCTTGCGAGACTTGCCACTCGCAAAATGAGGGCGAAAATTATCGTTTTAATTAATATCTCTGATTTTAGCTACTTTTTGGGGGGGAAGTGGACGTTGACCTTTTCCAGGACCCCCAAAACAATTGTAGAAAGTTTGGTGGCGATAGCTATAGTAGTGACTTATAGTGTAAAGGTATCAGTATATATTTACGTATCCTGATGAAGGTATGTTGATTTCTAGAGATTGGTTACAAATTCAAAAATCGAGGACACAGGTTTTTGCATAAGGCATAAATATTTGGGTGTTATTTTTTTCTTTTCAACCTGTGGTATACCTTGGGCAATATTTTGGTAACCTTGGATAATGAAACGATTAAATAAGCGACATGTCTAACCGTAATTCCTGAAGAATATTTATAATAATAATAATAATATATTGTTTCCATCCTTCTCCGCGTACCGGGATGACACTGCTAACCTACGAATATTAGAAAAGTAAAAAGTCCATGGACGGATTTAGACCTACAGAGGAATGCTATTATTCTGACCCGAAGCTTAGCCTTTTCGATCCATTCTAGAGAAAAACTGTTGGCCTAATCAAACACTTCCTATAACGTGAAGTATTCGAAATGAACCGATGACTAATGAGACTGGTCCACTACTCAGCCTGTCCGGGGGATGGAAAATAGGAATGAATTCGGTTCATATTATAGTATACCCTCAAAACTAAAACTGTCAGAGTGCAGCTATAAGTCAGAACAATAAACGACCTCGGGCGGGCGTGATCTGTAGAGAAAGTCAGAAACGTGGTTTGGAAACAATAGAAAGTACGAGGGTATATTGTAGATGGCAATTGTCAGTGGTACATTAAATTTGCAACTGCATTTCTTCATTTTAAATAAGAATCTCGTGTAGATAAGATGTTGTTGAACAGGCAGCATTAAGTTACATTTGCAGCATGGGCGTTTGAAGTTCCTCATGCTCCAACTGGTTTGCTCAGTTGTTAGCAAGAATGATTGATTATGAGACCGGAGGATTGGAAGTTCACAATTTCAATGCTGTATTGTTGCCATCGATTAAAAAAATATTCATAGAAAAATTGTTGTTGTTGTTTCTCAACCCCGTGACCAGCAAAGCTAAATCAGGTCCATCAGCCCATTCAACCTGAAAGAGTCCAGTACAAAAAAGGCGGTCTTGAACCAGATCCTGTCTGGTAAGCTCCAGACAAGATCAGATGTGATCAGGAGAGGCCTGTGCGGTATAACACTTGTGCATATTTTAAAGTGTTTATCACCACCGACAAAAGTCATTGATAACAAATGGCCGCTAAGGAATCTAGTAAGTGCAGTTTGAGCTCATCTATTGCTGCTCTGAACTAAGGAGCCACCAGTACACTTACTCTGATACACTATTCATGGATGGGGTAAGGGGAAGCTTCTATGGTCAGACACCTGGAGCACCGGCGGCAGAAGACTGACTCAGCTCCGGCGCCTACAGACTTTAGCTGGACATAATGGAGTGGCCTTCACGCCTTAGGTGGCCCTACCAGGAGAATACACTCCCGACGTACTTCGCCCACTCCGTCCAGTGGCACCCCTTCGCCACGATAAGGCAGTCTGTAGGTCTTGAGGGGAACAGAAAACTTTCTTATTATTATTAGTTTAAAAGATAAGGGTAGACATTAATTTTATCCAGTTCAGTTATTTTGCTTAGATTTATGAAAGTGGAAAATAATCAGGTAGAAAAAATTTTCCGAAAAATTTATACCAGATGTATGAGATCATGTTCCATAAAAATAGTTAATACACAATCAACAAAACCCTAAAATGTGATTTTTCGAATCTATATAAATCTTAAATTCTAATAATATCATCAACCATAAGCTCATGTTTTTAGTTCCTTCTCTGAAAACTTTCTTTTTAACTCTTACAGGAAGCAGGCATGAAAGAAGGTGATTTCATAGTCCGTATTGGTGAAAAAGATGTTAAATGGCAGGGGCACGAAGAAGTTGTCCAACTGATTCGTGAATCCGGAAATAAACTGACACTCAAAGTGGTTACTCCTATTGACCACGATTATCTGCATCCAAAGAGCCATAACACGTCTTCGTCAGCAAGTAGTCCAGTTTCCAATGCCTCAACCCTGAGCTCTTCAGACTTGAATCGAATTCATATGCGGTCTACTTCAAATCCTTTTGCAAAAGACAAACGCCGCCGGGCCACCTGGAACTTCTTCCGTCGCAGCCATTCAAAAGACAGGCAGTTCGGGACATTAGGCAAAGACGATAATGTGGTTTTCAGATAAAAACATTAAAATGTAAAATTCTTCTATACTTTTATTATTAGCGATTGATTTACGAATACTTATGGAATAATAGAAAGAAAAAAATAAGGACTTCAATACATCACTGGGAAGTAATTTTAGTGCGCCATGAATTAAATTAAATTGGAATTTTCGTAAAAACTGAAAATTGGTAAGATCTGTAAAAAATTCAGATAAGATACATTTTCCTTTCTATTTTATACAATAGTGCATAGTATTATCTGATAAATATGATACTCTGCGAATGTTTTAATATATAATTGCAACGATTTCTACAGAATTGTCTTATTTGAACAACCAGTCAAAGTGTATGCATAGAAATATTCATGACTCAGTAATCATTGTTGTAGATACGTCAAAACTACTTGATTTTACATACTTCTAATACTTGCATATTGATGGTAAGAAATTTTAGGAAATGTAATACTTAAAAATCAGAATACTTCATTAAGAATAAGTGTGGTGCTTTGAAACATAACATATTATATCATGTAATTACTTTGAATGGTATGAATTGAATAAAATGTATAATATGATTACATTCTATCTGGTCATTTCAGCTAGTAGCGTGTACATAGAATTGTTTATCTGCAGCATCTAGAAAGCCAAATGTAAAGAAAGTGCGATATTTGTATATTTTAAAGTTTGAAAATTTAAAATAAAAGTAAAATATATCATGACTATGTATATTTTTTTAGATACATATATGTTCATCTTCAGTTTTTGGAAATGCTGTATAAATGTGTTGCAAAATTGTATCTAAGATTTTGTGAAAATTTGAAAATAAATTTTTTCTTTTGAAATTTTTTCTTTTTTTAAACTTTTTTCTCTCTTAACGTTGCTAAAGAATAATTTCTTTCAGATTTTGTTGGTTTACCTCAATATTTTAGCGGCGCAGCCCAACCGGAGTAGTGTTTACTCAAACTGGCTGTCGCAAATCCTGGAGAAGGCATGGATGTTTGTAAATGTATAATGTCTGAGTTAAGATTAATGGACTGGGTTACATTTGTAATTGTTCACAATCTGCCATTGGAAAAAAAAAAAAAAAAAAAATGTCCGTGCGGCGTGAGGGCACTCTAAATATGCGGCGAGCCGAAAGTTCTCTCTAGAGTTTGATGGTAGTGAATGAGGGGTGGGAGACCCGCGGACCCGTCTCTTGGAATATTCTCCTTCAAAACTGAGGGTGATTCAAAACTGGGAGCGGAAATGAACAAAGTCGCACTGTCACCTGGTGTCCAACGACAGGCGCAGCCACAAGAATTTTGTGAGCTTGCTCTAATATCAGAAAAGCGACTAGCGATTAATGGGTAAGTTTGGCAACGGTTATCGCCAAATGGTACAGCAAATCGTAACGAAGTAAAAAGAACTGTGAAATTGTTCGTTTCCAACAAATCTCCTTTTCCCCACAGGATTCAAAATTATTTATATTTTTATAAATAATTCGGAAGTTTCACGTGTATATATTCTTTTTCATTACGCTCTCCATTATTTAAAAGCGCTGTATTTTGAGTATAGTGCCTAAACATGGCGACGTTATTTTTTTCTTAGAGCTTTGTGCTTGATGAAACCAGCAAGTAAGTTTTCCTTTTTTAAAACATGTCAAGATTCATCTCATTAGAATTATGCCTATTGCGCCTAAAAGGGCTCCTGCTACTATAGTAAGGACGTAACAAATATGAAAATACTGTCAGTTTGGGGCAAATACTGATATAAAATTAAGATTCCGTGCCAGTCTGCTACAAAAGATATACCTACAAACAACCGTAGTGTTAAGACCGCTGACCTGTGATACATCGGTCTGGATTTAATTTCTGGTGAAAAGGTGTGCTGGATGGGTATTTCTGTAGTTTTTTGCAAGTGTAACATGAGTATGAATTGTCATATTTTCTTAGAAATAAAATAAAATTTCCACGAGAGCTCCTCTTTTAGGCTAATAGCCCTAGAATGCTTTGCCGTACTCTAATAAAGCCTACCAGTTGCCGAGCGGTAAAGTCGCTGAACACTGGTAGTTCGGTCCGAAGTTCGAATCCCGCGAACGGGCTGCCTGCATGGGTGTTTTCGTGGTTTTCCCCATGTGTAACGTGTATGCGAGCCAGATTGCCTTAGAAAGTCCTCCACGAAGGCATCCCTTCCCTTAGGCAGATAGCCTTTGTGTGCTTTGCCATAATTAAATACACCAAACCACCGTACTCTAATAAAATATTATAGTGAGTTCTGTTCCAAATTGAAGATAAAGTTCCTTGATTTGCATTGTTCAAATTTTACATAAAAATGTGGGTTTGTAAATTTGGGTTTTGGTTCGTTGAATTTTTTCAAGGTCATAATGACTGCTTCAAATTGATGTCAGCATTATTTGTAAAGAAGCATCGTTACTGGATGTCAGCAAAGAAACCCTGACCATTTTGTATGAAGTTTTTACAAGGAGTTATTGCTTTCTTTTTTTTGCTTTGAAACGCCAGTAAAGAACAACATAGGTAATTCAGTTCTTTATTCATGTAATTTTAGTAACTAAAAACAGAAGAAAATAGTTTTCTGTATGCGAATTTTGGTAATTTTTACCATTCATATTAGCTACTACAGTTTGCTCATAATGTAACCTGATCCCACTAGTGACCGAGTAGCTATGACACCTGAACACTGGTAGTTTGAGCTAGACTCGAATCTTGGTAAATAATATAACTATGTAACTTAAATATACCACTTGAAAAAAGAAAGGTGAATCGATGAGATATAGAAGTCAGTGAGGAAGCCAGAATAATATTTGTAATTAAATTTTATTTTAGAAGCATTCTGCATTTAAGTATTCTACAGAATTCAGTAATTACACCTCAAGTCCTCGGTGTAAAAGCGACAGAGGCAGGCGTTGTTCAGGGATAATTGCTCCAACTGGTGGGTTTTGAACGAGGAAAATGGTATTGGCGCTATTTTTATTGGAAAGTCCAGGCTCATTGGATTCAACTTTGGCATGATAACCATCAGCATCGGTATAATATTCCACTTTCCTGTAAATGCCAATAGGATCCACGTAACCGTAGTTGCCTCGAATATTTCCATCTTGAGTGCGGATTTCTTGTCTGTGTTGAGTAGTTCCATTTCCATCATTCATATTGTAGCCAAACTCATAAGGTTTTAGAGATTCCTGTTGTTGAATTTGTAGCATTCTGGCAATTAGTGGATTTACGACAAAATTTGATGGTGGTATTGCATTAACTTGACGCTCCAGAGGCAAAGGAATTTGGACACCATTGGTGAGATATGTGGCTCGATCTAAAAGAAAGTATTATTATAATAATTTATTTTAAATGAATTTCAGGTGCGCTGGTTAGAATATTTTACAAGCCATAGACAGTTTTTTTTAATTAAGCTGTAAGGCTTGAGTGAATTAATTAAAAAAATTCCTACCATTTGCTCCTCTTTTCAACTAAAGAAAGGAAAATGATAGTATATTTTACTTACTCCAAAAGCATGCACATTTAATCAGTATTTAAAATGATAAAGTAGGTAAGGAAGACACAGCAGCAGAGCAGTTAAATAATCAGGTGGTGTGCCAAGCTGTGTGAAGTTCCCCGACCTTCAGTACCTGAAGTTGTTTTGTCAGCAGAATTAGAATTAAACTAAGTTTGAATTAGAGAAAACTAAGTAGCTCTAATTTTCTAACTAAAATACAGCAGTTTGGGAACAGAGTTTACATGTGTAATTAATCTTTCTTCTGAATTTTTCGGAACGTTCCAGAAGAAAATAATAACCGTCATAAACTGAATTTTAAAGTTAAATTTTAGTCCTTGCCTAGGAACTTAAGTTTTTCAGTTTTTGTTCCTATCTACAAACTGCAGAATTTAATAAAAACTGAGTATTACGTTCACAAATACTCTAAGAAACGTGCCAAAGTTTAGATATTCATAAAACACTGGTTTCTGAGAGGTGTAATGTTGATCTATTTTATATTATCTTAAAACTAATTTATCGTAAAACCTTTCTACATTGTACCAACTTCGTGAAATCTAAAATATCGTGACCTCGAGAAAATTTGCCATTCTTAGGGGGCTCAACATAAATCGGCTATTTTAATTTAGCAATGATTCGGACGCAAACTAAAAAAGTGCACCTAAATTTAGAAAAGGAACGGAAATACAAGAGAAACATTGGATGCACCATTTCCTGATAGATGGCCCAGATGTTGATTCTCTAGATTCTAGATGGTCTGGTTGTACGGGAGTTTAACGATTTTCTCAAAATAAATTCGAACGCGGTTTCTTTAGATTTGGCTTCATTGAATTGCGGCAAAGCCCTCGAGGGCTATCTGCTTAAGGAAAGGTATGCCTTCGTCGAGGGCTTTCAGAGGGAAACTGGTTCGTATACACGTTACTCATGGTGAAAACCACGAATGTAGCCAGGCCGTTCGCAAGATTCGAAACCCGAAACGAACTAACAGTGTTCAGCGGCTTTACCGCTCGACCGCTGGTGAGCCGATTTTCTTAGAAAGTATTTTACGAAAGCATATGCCTTTCTCCAAAGACCGACAGTTACATGCGTTTCTTAATTAAGTGTCTGCTATTAAATAATGAAGAATCTGTATGCATGTTTGTATCTTCTTCGCATTGTGGGAAACGGTGGCACATAGCGCAATCAAATTTTGAATGCGCGTAGTCCACCACTCGAACATGTGCACCCATGCTGAAGCTCGCAAATTTAAAGTTTTTTTATTAATTTTTTCCCCTATGTTCTGCGAATTTAAGGAACTTTCATTGAAAACTTAACGATTTCAAAGCTTTCTGTTGCCACTCTGCAAAGCGTAATGAATTTATGTTTTAAATTTAATAAAAAAACTCAGCGATGTGAAAGAAGGTTGCCACTCTGTGAAACGCAATATATTGGTCTCTGGAATTTAATCGGATTGTCAAAAAACGGCGGCATCTACAGCCACCAGATATTGAACACACAGTCTAACCCAAACATATACACCTCGAAGCACGAATTATGAATTTCGAATTTGTTTTTAATTTATTTTATATTTTACACGAATTTAAGGAACTTTTGATTAAAAACTCGGAGGTATTAAGGCTTTGTGTCGCCACTCGGGAAGACGTTCATGTTAAATTAAATTAGAAAACTCGGGGATATAAAAGTGTTTTTTCACTCGATAAGAAGCAATAAGTCTTTCGAATTTTACCAATAACTCAGCTGTTTAAAATACATGTGTTGCCGCTGTCAGAACTGAAGTATTTTCATCTTCCATGCAGCAGTATGTAGTCGTTCATCAAAGCGTAAGATGTTTAATTTTCTCTCAAATCCATTTTTTATTAATAACAAACTAAACGATTTAAAAGTAATAAATGCAGATTCCTTTACATTGTCATTAATTGCCAAGCTGGATCCGTCAAATTACATTACTTAGATTCATTAAAATTATTAGACGAAAGGAGTATTAGCCCGAAAGGACTGTTAATTTCGTTTTGGAATTTTGCGTCGATTCACTTTCTGTTTTGATTCACTTTTCAAACTGTTGCCACCAAATATTACAGCTCTGTATTATATTTAAAAAAAAATTAAATAATGAAGAATCTGCATTGTATGTATGTTTCTCGCAATGTGATAAAACGACGGTTCCTAGAGTCATCAAATTTTGAATAACGTAATCCTCCACCAAATATGGGCATCTGGAAGCCCTAATTTGGAATTTGTTTTATTATCTATTTCATACTTTCTCAAACGTTAAAGAATTTTTGATTAAGAAACTCAACGATTTCAAAGCGAGCAATGGCGGGAAAAAAAACATTTTTATCTCCAGCGCGCTAGACTGTGTATCGGGAATTCTAAAGATAAGCTCCTTTTTAAATTACTTTGCGATATTGATGTTTAATTGAGTTTATTGAAGTGCGAAGAACATGGTATTTAATAAATAAAGGTAGCACACAAAACGCTAACAAAACGCCCCTTTGGGCGTAATGTAAAATCTGAAAGCTTTCAGATTTTTATTTTATTTTTATGCAGATTTTTTTAATAATTATTATTTTAGATGGCTGTCCGAACAAGTTGCTAGTCAATTAAGCTCATTTTGACTTTACTTGGAGAATATACTTCAGTTTGAAAAATGTTTTAATATTTCGGTAACATTAACCGAAATGTTGATCACAATAAGCGATCCATTCTCCATATTTTCGTATACAAACAGGAAACGGTAACTCTATAATAGTATCCGAATGGTAACATTAACCACGATCGCATTAAATGGCTTCTACTGCATTTATTCTTTACTACATTTATATTTTTCTATTGGCACTGATGCAGATAGTTCTGCTTAGATTAATTCCAAGATACAATACTGTTAGATTAAATTAGCGTCAATGTTGCGTAATGAAAATCGGCAACAACAACAAAAATAAAAATAAAAAAGACCGCCAAACGATATTGTTATATTGGCGAGAGAGGATTCTATGTTTTTCAGATGCGAAAAGTCCTAAAATGATTTTGAAATTGCATTGTATTTGCGCTTCATTCTTTTCAGCATGTTACCTTCTTTTATAGAATATACTCCTTATAATATTGCCTAATAAGTAAGCCTGAAACTATTTAAAATTTATAAATGAGCCTCTTGTAAGTTCTTTATTTCAACACCTCGATTTAAATGTTTGTAAAGACTGTGTAGAACTCAAATGAAACACAAATAGAATACTTTGATCTGTGTTCTATTTGAGTTAAGCAAATTGTCTAACTTGTTAAATAATGATTTTATGGTTATTCTAGCTTATAATTCTTTAATAAAACTGTGCTAAATAAAGGATAGTGTACTGAAACGCCTTAACTGTGTTAAATGCACGACATATCAAATACTTTATTCGATATTTAACTGAAATAGAAAAAATAATTAATTGCAATATTTTGTCATTCTGCTATAACTAACCTGAAAAGATTGTTTAAGTATTGGATAAAAAATATTACATAATATTACATACTTCAAGGTAACCTTGAAGACTAGTTACCACAAGCGGTGTTAATGAAATAATTTCCTTTTCAAAATAAGTTAAGCAGATTTCCCTTTAAAGCTTTAAACTAAATTTTAAAAAATAAGTTCAGGAGAATTAGATTTCTAAGTTGACTTCCACGCTTAGGTAAAATTTTAGGTAATGTTTTTAATAAATAATAAACATAAATATAGAATAAAATTCAAGGTAATAGATCTTTTGACAATGCTTATTAAAACTATATTAATTAAACAAATGAAATAAGGTATTACTTTCTTTAATAGTATTTATTCGGTGAGTATATTAAGATAAAGTTTGAGTTACTTTTTAAAATTGGCACTACTCTTATATGCGCCCTAAGATCACCAAATGTGGCGATATGTGTTCTGCGCTGATTTTTGGCGCGATTACGTGCTGTGGGATGGTTTCGGGGACGATGCTGTTTGTATGGCAACACTTTTGACTTTGAAACTTAACTCTTCTGCTGCAGTGGTTTAATTGCTCGTTGGTTCGCGTTGTGCGTGTTTTTTATGTTACAATGAGAGACGTGGTGGCAAGATTTCAGTCGAGTATTTTAGATTGTGGGCAAAGTAAATTTAGTATTAAAAGGTACGATGTTGGAGTTGTTAACGAGTCTTTTGTGTCACGGGTATTATGAGAAATATTGGGTGTGTTTATGCGGATAGAAGTGCATTTTTGGAATTTCTGTGGAAGTCGGGACTTTTAAAACGGAGTTTGGCGTGTCCGAAATGCGGAGCTGATATAAGAAATCTGACGAAGAATTGTATTTCTGATAGACTTGTGTGGGTTGCAGTCAAATGGTTGCTGGTAAAGTATGTGGCTGTCAACGGAGTTTAAGGTTTGGATCGTGATTTTCGTGTAGTAAGTTAACTTTGGAGGAAGTTTTTATCGTTACTTTCGAAATTTTGAATCACGAAAGACATGTGATATAGCAAAATCGTGGCACTTTTGTTCACAGACGTGTGACTGGCGAAATTTTATTCGCGTATGTATTATGGTAAGTGCATTTTATTTAGTAATTTTTATTTTGTAGAATGTTATGTTAATTATTTTTTACTATGAATTTCTGTTATTTGAATTTTTTGTAATTTCTTTTAGTTTATTTTGTTGATTTGTGCGCAATGCCTAGATTGTGCAATTCGTAGATTTTTTTGAAGTTTAAAGAGAATGCTGAGTACATGGTATTCTTTGAAATTTATTGTTGTTATGTTAATTTATTAAAGCGAGGTGTGTGTAGTTTGTAGATTCTTTCGCTGCCTAGATTGTGCAATTCGTTGATGTTTTCTTAAGTTAAAACATATCGCTATGTACGTGGATTCTTGTCAAATATTTTTGGTTAGAAACTTTACGTTTTTGCTATCTAAATTTTTTGTTTTTGTTTCGGATTTTTAGCTTAAATCGTGTGTTCAAAATGTGGTTTTTGCAAGTGCGAAAACCGCGTTTTTGGAGACATTTTGGGCCTAAAGTTCGAAATGTAGAAAAAAAATTTAGATAGTAATATGGCACCGTGGACGTTTGGCGAAAAATTCGGCGATCTGAGGGCGCATATAAGAGTAGTTCCTTAAAATTTCTTATCTATGTATAGATCAATTCCAGTACAATTTCGAAGAAACACTCATAAAGACAAATGTTACCTGTGCATATTGCCGTGAGAAATATTCAAAGAAAGTTTACTGAGAAAAACCTATTTTAATAATCATGCTTCCTCTTCAGACTGGTTGGGTTTTTATAAGTGCAAGGGACTTTATCTGTATTTTTGAAAAAGAATGTAACTAAGTATGGTAAGTGACTCTTACTTTTATCAAAAATGGAAAATATAACGTTGAAATTTGAATATAATGTTAAATTTTGGATACACAAGGTGATTAAAAAACACGCGGAGCAAAAATAAGCACATTTTGTAACAATGTGTGAGAAAATGGCGCGGTTAGAGTAAAGAGAAGGGTACCCCTTGTATTGCGAAGTTGGTGTTTCATTTATGGTAGCTTGAGTAGATGAATGTTATGGAAACCCTATTATGACGTAATCGGTTGCATGATTGCGGTAAATTCGTAAGGGCTTGTCGTGTGTGTTGGTTAGGAAGTACATTGTTTGTTTTTTGGTTTACACGGTAAAATGGCTGAATGTGGTAAGATTAATTTGAAGTTTATGTACTATTACGGAAAGAAAGGGTTAAAGAGCATTACTTGATTGGTGTGTAAATGAAGGTTTACTTAGTAGTCATTATTAAGTGTCCTGTTTGTAGGGAGGAAATGCGTATGGGCGAACGTCGGAAATGCGTACGATCGAACGCCGCTACCGAGGATATTTTTGATTCTTATTTTGTGAATTTATGTGGCGACGCCAGTATACAGATTCTAGTTCAAATAATTTTAGGAAGTTTTTGGATGCTGTTAAGGAATTTTGTTTGACTGAATGAAAATGTGTTAATTCGTAAATAAGGTTAAATGGATATTTCCTTTGTGTAGTGCAAAGATGAATTTTCTTTTTTATGTTATTTCATTGTTTGATTTAAAATGTAATTTGTTGAGATTATATATTTTTTTGCTGGCTGCTCCTTTGACTTCTTAAGGGAGTATAATTCGATTTGTACATGTACAAAGTCAAAGAAGTGCGCAAAGCCTAGTTTGTGCGATTCTCTGATGTTTTTTTAAGTGAAAATAGGTCGATGTGTACAGAGATAAAGTCAAGAGAGTGCGCAATGCCATTTTTGTGTAATTCTGGGATTTTTTTTAAGTGAAAATAGGTCGATGTGTACATGGATACCAAGTTTGTGCAATTCTTTGTCTTGTTATTTTGGCTTTGTGTGGCGGCGATTTTTTGGCAAAAATTGCCGCTACTCAAGCCAAAATAACAAGTCAAAGAATTACACAAACTCGGTATCCATGTACCGCCAAAAATCGCCAAGTTTCGCCTAGTAACCCGTAAATATACTTTTACCAATGGCGCATTAAGGTGGTACAGAATGGCTGAATACTTGCTCCGTTTTCGTGCAGCGATACATAACGCTCGAAATCCTCATTCGGAATGACGATTTATATTAGAAGATTGCTTTTAACTACCGAAATCATCAGCCGCACTTTATCTCACTTCTTCGCGCCACTTTGACACACACGTTCTATTACAACATCTGCTTATTTCAGTCCTAGCTATATGTTTTTATATTTCTGCCAGATATTTTATAATCACTCTATGTGTAGTTTGATTCAGCGAACTTCCCGTTTGAGAGATTTATTGATTAATTAATATCATATCAGGTCCCTGTTTTAGAAATATGTGTAGGCACATAAAAAATGCGCTAGAAAAAGCTATAATATTCTTATATACTATCACATAACCAAGTATTCAAGCAATTTTAGTACTGGAGATTTTTCATATAAAATTAAAACAAATTAGAAAAATATAAAAAATAAATAAAAGAATAAATTAGAAGAAAATAAAAGTAATTAACAGAATAAAAAAACAGTGACAGAAGTAAATAAAAATATATAAAGTTTTAATCAAAGTTTAATTAAGAATTCACTTAAATAATAGTTTAGAAAAAGAAAAATATATGAAGCAGACATTATAATGAAATTGTTTTAAAACATTTAAAAAATTGAAATTGGTAATTAAACTAGTATATTAAAAATTCTAGAGATGCCTTTTAAAATATAACTTTTAAAAAATGTTCTTATTAATAAATTATTATAACAAGAAAAATGAATATTTTTAAATAACTGCTATTTTTAATTAAAAATATTAGTAATAATAGTAATGAAAAAGCAATTTTAGCTCATTAAATTATTAATTATATCTTTTAAAGAATACGTGGCTACGAAAATATGTGAAATTATTATATTTTTCGAAGAATGCTATACGTATACAATATAAAAACCCACTTCAATTTATATTAAAAACACTGCAATTAAAATCGTATTATACGTTTCATTAACTTTCTAATAAATATTCTTTTCAACAAATATATACATTTTATTTGCAATCTCTTGCAAGAAATAACATTATTAACTTTATGTGTACGGTGCTCGAGGTCATTCTAAAATGTTTAACATGCCCAATTTTGTATCTTATAAATTCATTATCTTGCCATTCAAACGTAATTAAATATACTAAAAAAATTGCTTTACGAATACAGTTAATTAGCACCAGACATTAACCATATAATACTTGACAGTAAATGAGCAAGAATAGCAAAAGAGTACTAAACCTACTTACCTTGTGCTGCGGTTTGATAGGCGAGAAATATCAGCACAGCAACCAAACAAAATGCTGAGATTTGGAAAGAAGACATGGTGAATGCAGTGCTATAGGTTGGCAATATTGTACACCAGTGACTTGCTTGCTGTCGCATCTGCTTTTTATACCCGAAGTAAATGACACTTTGAATATTTGAATAAATACTTGGCAACAATTTTTTCTATTTCGGATTCCTTTACGCCTGAAAATGGCGGACACACCTACGGCAACAAAACATTAATGCTAAGCAGATTTCTCAAGGCAGGCGAATATAATAAAGCGGAAATTTATCAGACTTTTATATCTTATATATTAAGAAACAGATTCTAAATATTAAAACTTCCTTTTTTTAAGGAACATTCCTATAGTTGCTGTCTATAGCATTTACTTTATGTGAATAGCAATGACAATGTATTTGCAATAAACTCTGTATTCCATTAGACTTCCGATCAACAAGGCTAATACCGAGGAAGACGTTCAGGATTTATCCAAAATCATAGTTAATTCGACAGCAGTTGAAAAAAAAAATTACAGGGAAGAATAATAATACAAATTGTAATGAAGAGAAAAATACTATTGGTAATTTACAGAAAATAATTATAACGGTAATAGAATAAATTTGAAGAAAATAGAAGTAAATAAATAATTGCAATGGTAATAGAATAAAATAGAAGAAAATAAAGAATTGTAAAGGTAATAGAATAAATTAGAAAAATATAAAAATAAATAAAAGAATTGTAACGGTAACATAATAAATTAGAAGAAAAAAAAATGTAATTAACAGAAAATAAAAAAAACAGTGACAGAAGTAAATAAAAATATATAAAGTTTTAGTAAAAGTTTAATTAAGAGTTCACCTAAATAGTAGTTTAGAAAAAGAAAAATATATGAAGCAGACAGTTTCACATTTATAATGAAAGTGTTTTAAAACATTTAAAAAATTGAAATTGGTAAGTAAACTAGTATATTAAAAATTCTATAGATGCTTTAAAATATTATAAAATATAACTTTAAAAAATGTTCTTTTTAATAAATTATTATAACAAGAAAAATTAATATTTTTAAATGACTGCTATTTTTAATTTAAAATATTAGTAATAATATTAATGAAAAAGTAATTTTTATCGAAATTGTTATTTATTAACACAAACGGACGATAGCCTGGGCTACCGCCCGTTTATGTTAGTCTCCAAAGTCTCCAAGGGCTACTGGTCTCCAAATGGCATTTTGCGCCGTTTAGCTATAAACCGTTGAATCACTTTTCAGATTGTTGCAACCAAATATTATCGCCCTGTATTATATTTTAAGATGTAGAGACATTAAGATTTTTTTGAAAGCAAGTGAGATGAAAAATGAGCAAACGCCTTCGCCGGGAATCGAACCACGGACATCTGAAATACCGACCCAGTGTGCAGACCACCACACCACGAAGAATCTCCAAGAAGGTGGGAGAAATACCTTATAAAGAAAATAATGACGTATGAAGAATCTGCATTAATGTGTGTGTGTTTCTCACATTATGGAAAAACAACGGTACCTAGAGCCATCAAATTTTGAATAACGTAGTTTTCCACCCGAATATGGGCACCTAGAAGCTCGAATTTTCAATTTCGAATTTGTTTTATTATATATTTCAAATTTTGTAAAACTTTAACGAACTTTTGATTAAAAAACTGGGCGATTTCAAAGTTAGCAGTGGCAACACTGTATGGAATAAAATATTTTTATATTCAGCTCTCGAGGTTGTCTATCAGAAATTCTAAAGATATGCTGTTTTTAAATATTTTTAACCCATTGGGGTGCTAGCCCAAATGTTCTCGAAACGTGCATGTGTGTGTAAATGATAAAAGCGCCCTTTTGAGCGTAATATAAAGTCTGAAAGACTTTAAGATTTTGTTTTTTATTATTGTTATTTAAATTTTCTCTTATACCGCGTACCAGTGACTTCCACTTACTATCAGTTTATAAGTCAGAAGGAATCGACAGCCAGAAAATTTTAATTTAAAATCTAAGCACTTGGTACATTTTTAAAAAAAAATATTTTCAGTCGATACATGTTATTATTTTTAATTCTTATTTTATTCACATTTTTAATATTCGCAGCATGGAACACTTTTGAGACATTTTATCATAACGATCTTTGTGTTAGAAGTAAGCAGTATATTTCTTCCGTAGCATATAGAAAACAAAAAATAATTTTATTGTTTAAAGGCGTGTATAAAACAATCAGCTAAACGTATTTCCATTTGAACAAAGCTTCCTGTATTGGTGAAACAAGGAGAAATATTTCCATAACTTTATTAAAAATACGAAAATTTAAAATTAGATTTCTTGAAAAGACTATATCAAGAAAGAAAAAAAAATTGTTCAGGATCTAGCTGCATGTGTTTTGTAAATAATTAAAGAAATTGAGAGATTTCAATGCTATAAGCATATACGATTGTTTCTGTATGAAAGAAAAGTCTCTGCAAGGTCTTTCAGGATGTTGAATTTTCTTAAGCTATAATGAAATGTCTCTTTCCTCAATGCTTGCCTTCATTGTGTAATTGGAAGCACGTTCAGCTAACAACTGGAAAATGCCAAGTTCGGATTTTGGTGACGGGCATGGCTGATTTTTCATAGTTTTTGACTCAAAAAGTTCTAAATAGACTATCGAAAGTATATATAGTCTATCAATTATAACTCTGAATTTATCAAATATATGATTCTCGATAGAAATTTGTTTATGTAATGTGTCTGGCTTTGAGAAGGCTAATGCGATTTTAAATAACATTTTAAATTGTTGCCACCAAATATTATCGCCCTCTATAATACTTAAAGAAATTAAATGGTGAAGAATTTCATGAATTGTGTGTGTTTCTCGTATTGTGAAAAAGCGACAGTACCAACAGACATAAAATTTTGAATAACGTAATCCTCCACTCGAACATGGGCACATGAATGCCGTATTTTGAATTTCGAATTTGTTTTATTATCTGTTTCATTATTTTGTAAAACTTTAAGGATTTTTTTATTAACAAACTCACCGATTTCAAAGCGGGTACTAGCAACACTGTATGGGGGGAAAAAAAAATAAATAAAAAATTGATCGAAAGCGTTTGGGACTGTCTATCGAAAATGCTAAAGAAAAGCTGTTTTTAAATATTTTTAGCTCAAAGCAACATAAGCCCAAATGCTCTCGAAACGTGCGTGTGTGTGTGTAAATGAAAAAAATGCCACTTTAGGCGTAATATAAAATCTGAAAGCTTTCAGATTTTTTTTACTTCCTTGTACGAAGTAAAGGAAGTATTGTAATCGCGAACATTTTTCCGGTGTCATATTTCAACGAAATTATCCATTTTGAACGCTACTGAATGCAATTTAACAATGTTTTTGCGTGACATCTAATAACGTAAGGATAGAATAATGTAAAAGACTCTTTTTTTTTTCAAAATGGATTGCAAAAAGGGTTTAAAATGGATTTAGAAGAGATATTTTTCGTGGCTTTTGTACGTACTTACCTATGTATGTATCTTGCATCACTCAAAAACTAGTAACCTCAGAGAGCTGAAATTTTTAACCTCAGAGAGCTGAAATTTTGTTTATAGGACTGCTTTAACATGTAGTTATGGACCTCCCTTTTGGTTCCCATCGGCCGCACCAAATGTATATAAATATATATATACGTACGTATATAAATGTATAAGATAAAAAATATGAAATCAGGCTTCTAATTTTAATTGGCTATAACCTCTTATAACCTCTAAATGAGAAATAACCAGATTATTTCTCATTTAATTTGGGCACTCTCTCTCTCTGTCTAAACTCTTTCATTCAAATTATTCATGAGATCCTACGTAACGCTTAATGCAGATACCTCTTGACCAATCACCAAATTGTAAACAAAACTTTATAAACTCGAACTGAATCTTTTTGACTCCCTCCCTTCTTCCTCTGAATTGCTGCGACACTTTCGCTTATGCTTTCCTCCTGTCAAGACTCTGCTGCGAACATATATGCGCTTATTACGACACTGAATCACTTTTCACATAAGCATAACGCACTTTTTTGCCAGACTCAGTGAGATCAGTTTTTTTATTCTTATATGTTGGTAAATTGTGGATTATTTTGCTTTAAAAATGATTGTATTATGTTGTTCTTATCTTCCGGTTAAGATTTTTATGTCTTTAGTTAATCTGCATGCAATAGTGGTAGAGTTATCAACAATTTAAGATTTGTCACAATTTAAGTGCGGCTAAGCCTAACTTTTTTACCATAGAAGCCATATTTGTTTACATTTGAAACTTAGCAACATAGTTAACTACTTTTTCTGCACCTTCAGTGTCTTTTTGCCAAGTGGGCCCAAAAGGAAACTTTTAGTTTTGTGCACCGAAAAATCTGCCTTCTTGCCTGCTGTCTGAATTGCTTGTTTTTGCATAGAAACTTATTTTAATTGTAAATTTTAAATTGTTTTAATTGTATTTGGTGTTTTATGTTTTTCTATATCTTTCAATTTTTAATAACGATGTTTTGAGTTTTTATGTATTTGTGCCTTACCCCGAAGAGAGAACTGAATTAATTGAATGAAAAATCTGTCTCTAATGAAATTCGAAGAAATAAGTGTAAATGAAATGCAGGAAAGACTGCGGATAATTTAATATTCCTTACAAAGAAGTCATGTGTGGTGTACACATCAGATTATTTATTCTTAATATGTTGGTAAATTTCATACTTTTTGCTTTAAAAATGATTGAATTATGTTGTTCTTACCTTCCGGTTAAGGTTTTATGCCTTTAGTCAATCGGTATGCAATAGTTGAAGAATTATCAACACTTTAAAAGTTGTTTAAGTGTGGCTAAGCCTACTTTTTTTTTTTTTTTTTTAATTTACCATAGCAGCCATATACGTTCGCATTTGAAACTTAGCAGAACAGTGAATTAAGCCAGTTTCTGCAACTTCAGTGTCTTTTCTTCGATTAGGACCAAAAGTAAACTTTCAGTTTTGTGCACCGAAAAATCTGCCTTCTTACTCGCTGGCCGAATTGCTTGTTTTTGCGTAGAAACTGTAACTTGAATTGTAAAACTTTTTAATTGTATTTGGTGTTTTCAATTTTTAATAAAGTTATTTTGAGCTTTTATATATTTTTAACTTGTGGCGAAGTGAGAACTGAATTAATTGAATGGGAAATATATCTCTAATGAAATTCGAGGAAATAAGTTTAAGCGAAATGCAGGAAAAATT